CGGGTTATTTTATTTTCGTCTTCGCTTTTAACACTGTACTTTTTTTTTTGTTTTTTGTAGAGCGAACGCTTCGTATTCACCTGTAATAATATTATAATATTATGTGTATATCGGATTGGAATACGTGACGGATAACACGGCCAAGTGTGAACGGTCGGCGTGTCTACAAAGTCGTGTGTATACTTGCACACGTGTGTGTGTGTGTGTGTGTGTTTTTATGCCGCTCACACTTGAGGCGATTAATCATCCTGTATATACGTATTATGTGCGCGCGCGTAGTGTACGAGTGAGTATACACGCACACGTCATACTGGTTCGTACGCTGATCTCGCTCGCTCTCGCTCCGTCTCTCTCTCCATTCATTGACCGTCGTCGTCGTCTAGAAATATTTTTACCAACAAACTACGTCGTACTATTATTATTATTCTAAAATACGCGCTCGTATACACGCACGATGTAGTAAAACGTCGTCGTTGGCGCGTCGCAGACATTTTTATTGTTATATATTTATTTTTTTTATCACGTCTCCTTTTATCGCGCTGCGGCGAGCCCGCGTACACGTACAATATTGTAATAATAATAATATATGTATAAACATTATTATTATTTTTATGCGCGCGTCTCCTCCTCGACTTGTCGCGGTCGGGTCACTAGGTGGCAAAATCGGGGCCCAGTGCACGACTCGCTATGCTAACGGTTGCGCATAATAGACCGGCGGGCACAGGAAGCTGATGAAAAAACTAACGTAAATTACGCGCGCGCGCGACCGAAACACGCCGAGTGTTTTATCGGCCAGGCGACGTCCGCCGCCGGCCCACATTATAATATCACACCTATTTAATATTTAATAATATTATTATTGTTATTATTACGATAATATACTTACGATTACGACACGTAATTATTACGATATTATTAATTAGCTACACTAACCCCCCCTCCCCATCTCTTTTCCCTCTCCCCTAGGGACCTGTTTAGACGTTATTATATAAATATTATAATGTTATCGCGCGTACAGCGTAGTCACCCAAATAGACGACGGCGACCAAAAACACGAATCCTATCGCCGTCGTTATTATTATCGTAATAAAATAATACGGGACATCGTTACGAGAAAAAAAAAACCCGAGCGCGTTCTAAAAAACAAATCGTAAAACATATTCGAAGAAAAAAGAAATGATTCATCGTTTTAATACCACCCAGTGTATATTTAAATAGATTCTCTGACACGCCGCGTTTCGAGTTTTTCGTATTACGGGTCCCGGAGACGATAGCTGAAAATCGGACAAAGGACTACCAAAAAAAAAATCAATTCGACGTGTCTCATTGCCGTTTCCATTCTTATCGCTGTCGCGGTTAATCGTTGTTGCCCTGTAGTATATATTTTAAAAAACGGCATACTTTGGCACTTATCTGTGACGAACAAATTAAATAATAACCGTTTCTAACCTGTAAATAATGATAAAAAAAAAAATTTTAATTTCAATTTTCGTTACACAAATGCCAAAAACTCCGTGTCAGCCAGGGGTTAAATTTCGAGATGAAAAATAGACGGCGTACTCCCTCTCGGCAACGCGACTGTAGACGTAGGATCAAGGGGGGGTCGTGAATGTGACATGTCAGCAGGTACGTCGCTACGTATTTCTAATATAATATTAATTCTTTATTTAATCGAATTTTTAGAACTTTTCTCATTAAACGGTTCAACTATACACTTGTGTATAAAAATAATAGTAAAAGCGAATCGATTCGGTAGGCCTTGGATATAGCTGTCCGAAAAATAAAAAATTGCCTCACGTTTTAATAACATAATATTATGAAAAAGATAGAGATTATAATATTACACACGAGCCCGCTGACCGCGGTTGTATTATTGTTATCTCTTAATAATATTATTATTACTTATTAGTGATATTATTGCCGGCGAACAGGCATGGATTTTTGTTATTTCATTCTAATCACACGAAAAGTGTAAAGTACAACAAAATTATAACTACATGTGGGTAATATCGATAACAATATACATTAACACGTACGGTATTAAAAAATAACGTACTTGTACGCTTAAGGTTTGTTAATTATTATCGGGACCCGGATTTAAAATCTGTAGACATTTGAAAAAAAAAATATAGCTTTAAAATATAGTATATTCCATGTCATTTCCTTTTCGATAAAAATTGTATTTATATTTTGTATACATAAATAATAAATGTAAATAATATTATAATGATAACGGTGAAAAAGTCAGACTCATCCAACTCCCCCATCCCCCGGGACAAAATCATTTAATTCAATTTTATGTGTATTCCTGGAAATGTTTTTTCTAGAGCACCATCGAAAAAAACGCAAAAATCTGCGTCCGATAATTGTTAACGTTTTATACAATAGTTAGACAAAACTGAATTTACTCACTACTTTCCGGAATGGAACGAAGTTAACAGTGTTCAAAAAATAATTCGAAACCCTTTTGTGCAAAAGTTGAAGAAGCCCCAGAATATCTTCAAGAACTTTGGTACAGAAGGACAACTCCGGGAAATTGCCTTATGTTATTAACTAGTATTTTCAACAGCATATTTGTATGAATAAGGATTTTCTAGTCTACTTGTAATAAAAAATAAACAGAGGAATCGTTTGGACGTAAGTGATGACATGCGTTTACCTATGAGCAACATTCATCCGAGAATTGAAAAACTGGCCAAAAGAAATGTAGTCACAAAGTAAATTATTTAGTATAGTAAAGTAAAATTATATATTAGTTAAGTATAGTTATACAATTTAACGTAAAGTAAAATAATAATATTAACATTTTTGGATTAATTTTGTGTATCTATCTATCCGATCTAAAAATGAAATCAATCCATGAAGAAGCAGTAGCCTTTTACAAACGATTCCACTCTAAACTCCCTTCTCATTCCAACCCTCTCATTTCGAACCTTGCCACTCTCACGATTCCTGGGAATCCTCCCAGAAGGCTCAAAAGGAAATGGTGTCGAGACATCCTCACTGTTTGATAAAATTAAGCAATATAAATAAGGAAAAAAAAAACCATCAAGTTAGGGTAGTGTTACCACTGGGTGACTCCTTTCTTCATTTCATCATGTTTTTTATTTACTCATTTATCACATATTCTTATTGTTCCTAGGAACAGATTGTATATTATTCGTATATAAAATAAAAAAAAAAAATTTTGTGTATTCTTATGTTAATGATCAAAAAAAAGGTCTTCCTAGTTTTTGTAAAATTGAAGTGGTCCACAACCACAAAATATTATCGAAGTGGCCTGTGGTGATAAAAAGGTTGGGAAACACTGGTCTAAATATTTTGGCCTACGGCTTAAAGCTGTAATTTTTTTTATTTTAGGCGGACAATAATTTGTTATATAGGCTTTTTTTAATTGTGTATAATGTTTGTATATGCGCATAATACATTTTAAATTGAAATTACAATAAATACTAAGTATGGTCCGCATCAGTTAAATTTTTGAGCTCTTATTATAAGGAACAGGAGCTCGCAACACGAAGATCATCATATTTGTTATAATTAGTGAATAGTGGTGCGCACTATCAAATAGTAATCATCAAACCGTTTGATAGTTTTGAGCTGCCGAACTATTAGATAGCGTATTGAACAGTAATTGAACTAGTTGAACTAAAACAGTATCCTATTCGATGCTATTCAAATGGGGTATGAAGGATTCTCCTGCGTGCGATTGCGGTCACCCGTCTCAAACAATGGAGCATATCATAGGACACTGTCCTATTCGTGCTTTCAACGGCACAATTAACGATATCCACGGCGTTTCGGAAACGGCTCTGGCCTAGTTGAGATCACTCGATGTTCTCCTATAAAAGGTCATTCCACAACACAGAAGTTACCATAAACTAGACTAATTACATAATATCTTTATTATTGTTATTTATTTTAACCTCTATATATTCTACTTAAGTTTATTTATTTATAATTTTATTGAGTTGTAATGCTTGTTAAGAATACGATAATTCGATAATGTCGATAATCAATATGTACTATTCGAAATATTCAAACTAATTTGTGCTAGACAGTTTGAACTATATTCGATAGTATCAACTATTCGGTTAGGGTCATGCGTATATTGATCGGTTTCCCGCTACTTTTGGATACTTTTATAGTTTTCCGACCGGACTAAATGAGCTCAAACTCTGAAATTCGATTTGTTTCATGGGTGGGTTGTAGTGATAATAGATGGACTGAATTTCAGTATGAATTTTACCATGTTGTTGCCGGAGGATGTGGTGTTTTTTTTTGATAAGTTTTCTAGCACTTTTATACAACCCCTCCCCTCTCTCGTCCTTCAAATAAGACAAGGGCGATGCAACTATTGTATACGCACGACGTTTAACCTTCAACCCTTGCGCCTACAATTTATACACGCACAAGTGCACGCAGTGTCGTAGCAGTGTTACAGCATTATCCGTATCGTTACGGTGTACTCGGTTATTTGTCGTGTCGCGGCGAATGTTTCCGTACGGTACAGAATATGGACGAAGGAGGGGGAAATTCGACTCTGCAGTGACGGCGCTGTGCCGCAGCTGGCACGCTGCTCACGGGTGTATTTTTTTTATTTTTTTTTTTCTCCGTTCCACAGCGTACAATAATATCGCGTCCCGGGAGTGAAAACCGTCCAACCCTGCGCGCACGTACAACTCGCCCTCTGCGCCAGGCAACCCGCCCGCCCAAAAATATCCGTCTCTCTTTCTCTCGGCCGCGTACACAACACAACGACCAAATAAATTACGTACGCTACGCCGCGGAGCGCGAACCACCCGAACACGCCTCGCGCCTCGAGAGACGCGAGAATCGCTATCGGTCCGTCCGCCCCTTTCGGGCCCGGTGCTAACATGGCGCGTACGTGTACATTATAATAAGTATCCGCCGGTGCCAACGATCGAAAAACCATATGTAATAATGGTGTCACGGTATGTATATACCTATCTATATTTATATATATATATATAAACATACATGTATAATATTATAACCTGACACACACGGTGTAATGTGTATGCGTACACAGAGTAATATAACGACTTCCGGGCGAAAGGATGACGAAATCGTTCGTTTTTTTCCATCATCGCACACGACTCGTATTATATTATACCGCAGAGTCGATTTAACTGCACTATGGATATTCCGCGGTGGTTTTTTTCTGAAAAAAAAAAAAAATAAAAAAAATTAACGAAGCCGCGTATTTATATATTATAATATATACTGTATAATAATATTAGGTATAAGTGAGCGGATCGCGGCAACTTTAAATCGAAACGATTCGGTATGATTTTTAATTTCTAAGAGAGAAATGTATCGGTTTTACTATGATATGCTTTTTTTTACAGTGACAATTTCTCTAAATCTTTTTCTAATCAAACACTTTATACAAAAACTTTCTTATAGATTTTTCGATCTAGTATTGGTGCGTGTTGGAGGTCGGTTTTTTTTTATTATCCTTGTAGTTTTCTTATAACAAATGAAAAAATAGGAAACTATTTTTATTATTTTTGTTGATTCTTGGGTTACCTTGGCAGCAATTAAGAGGGGGAATACGATTAATAATACTCTGCTCAGAAGTGTTTTCCGTTTGCAATGGTTTACGAACAACACATTAAAATATCTATACAATAGGACGTACTCCATAGTTTAACATATAATAAAAATCGGAAAATATGTATCCTGCTAAGAATAGCTATGGATACTGGGACAAGTATTTCAGCAAAACGTTAGCAGACATTTTATCCACAATTTGGTCTTTATCGCTAGAATATCGGGACGTACGAGAACGTAGTAAGGGTCTTGTGGGACCCATTGGGCAGAACTCGAAAATAGTCCCGCTTTAATTGAATACTATGTCAATTTTTATACAACAAATATTTTTTAGATAAATGAACAATGCCACTGCAATGATGGGCCTTTACTTTCTTGGAACAGCGGACGTTTCTTTTTGCTCGGTTCGGGAACGTATCTCGACTCAATCACAAAACCTCAAGGAAAATTCCCTGACACTATTACCGAAAAAATGATTGAAATAACAATATATATAGTCGCGACAAAGTATCACAACAGGTTTAGTTTAGATAAATCAAGAAGGAATATGACAAAACCCAACCTACCTGTAACAGTTCCAAACCTGATGATATTCTGTGCCGTGGAAGTTATAGTATCAATCTAAGTATAAACATAAAATCGTTCAATGATTCTTCAATAAAAAACTATACGACGGGTTTAATTAAATCTAACGGAGTAATAGAATATCCTAATTTACCTTGCAGCCAAATATCTATGGTTGTAAGGAGGAAAGAAACGTTTATGAGCAGCAAAGCTAAAGTTCCTTAAAGATCATCTATTTCGAATAACAGAAATATATTCTTCGTAAAACAATAAATAACCGAATAAAAAATTATTCAAAATAATTGTTGCACACTAAGTATTGAAAATAAATTTCATTCTAGAAATAGTTTTCTTCAAGTGCGTTTGAAGTATTAATACATTTCATTTTTAAACACTGCATAGGTATTGCATAACGATAACTATTACGCGTGTATTACAGCTGAGGTTGTACTTTAACGTCAAACGGTTTACCGATAACACTGGTTATATATTTATAATTATCATGACTAAGGATTTTAAAAAAATAATATAGGTAGAAATAGATTCGAGTTTTCGGCGATAGTTTTTTGACGGGAATATAAAACAATTAGAAAAAACGTATACAGTTTAAATTATAATTTATTTATACTGTTAAAAGCAAAAATTTTAAATTGGGTAACATTTTAACATACACAAAGTAAATAATTTGTATGTAATATTGTTGCTTGTTACTAAATTTAAAAAAAAATACCACAAAATATTATGTAAAATCGGATTTAACCTTGGAACATTTTAGAATGATTGAAATTCGTAAGTGCCCTAGGAATTGTTTTGGTCATTTAAAGTATCAAGGTGTCTATATGACAACATAAAAGACGAATAAGTACATTACCTGTTGGTGTTTTACATCAATTTTTTAAAAAAATATTACCTATATAAAATTATCGGTATGAGATATCGAAAAAAGATTCTCTTCTGAGAGAACTGTACGTGGTAAATTAAAAAAAAATGTGATTCATCATTTATATTCGGTCTTTATAAGTGGCAAATTTGACGCCCTTAAAATATATTAAAACTAAATTGTTCAGGACGGGTAGTATGCAATTTATTCGTATTTTCTTTTAAACGTTTAACGAAATATATAACATTGATGATGTATTATATATGTGTCTTGGCATTAATGATGACAACACTTATTTTCGGTCGATATAGCTCATTAATCATTATTCATTATCACGTATTGTCACAATTTTATTTCCTCCGCCTAACCATTAACCATATCGTTTTTGGCTTATGACTTCTATGGGATAAAAGCAATCATGTACTTTGACACAATACAATGTCAACGTTATTCTTCAGATATTATCACGTATAATCCAAAAATCGACTTTTTGGCCACTTATCAGCTTTTGGTACAACAGTACAGACATTTTACTGCTACAGCGTAACAGTCTTTATTTCCGGGGAAAATTCGTCAAAAACGGCGGTCGGGGATTTTTTTCCATTATTCTCGGGGGAGGTTTTCCCGCCCGGGAAATTTTCGTTCGGATTACCGAACGACTTTGTCTGGCGACTACAATACTGTAATACGTAACGGCCGCACGCACGATGAGCGAGATGCATTGTCAATATAACAGTATACACGTATATATAATTAGATATATATATATATATATATATATACTTACTATATATACATATATATATATATATACGTGGTGTCGTACGTTTTGTAGGATAAGGCCGGCGATGACGAAGAATGTTTAAGTTCTAAAAATAATGCGCTCAGACACACGCTGCACGGGCAAAAAGAAAAAAATTGTGACTCGGCGGCGGCGTGGCGCGTACGAGTGCCACACATCGTACGCCGCCGCCGTGTCCGTCGTCGCCAGGTAGCCTATATTATAATATATATTTATTTATAAAGAGAGAAAAATAAAAAGAGAGGAGGAGAAACGATCGGCTGACGAAACACCGTCGGAACGTTGCACGAGATGCAATTCCGTGCATGTGTGGGGCGACGACGCCGCGGCCGTCACGCCGTCGCCACCGACGACGCGACACCTCAGCCGCTTTCGTTATTTCGAAAATAACATAGCCGCTTGCCCACCTGCCCGTACCTACCTGAAGCATACGTGCTCGTCTTCACGCCACCCTCCGTCATTTGCGCCTGTCGCTTTTTCCCGCCTCCCGTCCGCCGTCACCGCCGCCGACGACGACGACGACATTGTTCGACGCGGACTCCGCGCGCGCGGTTTTGTCGTCTTATTCGATGCGAACGCTCGTGGTTGACGCGCGCGTCGAACGGGCGCATACATTCCGCAACGGGAATTCAACGTAACGCGCGGGACACCCATTCGCCCGGTCCCGATCGAGTCACGCGTGTGCGGCTCGCGGGGACGGTTAGGTGTGGTCAAAACCATTTCTGCGACCCCTAATAGGTATTTCCCTCGCCCCGCCGCCGAGTTAGATATGATAAATAATAATACGCGCCGCAGCCCGGGAGACGATACAATGTATTGTATTTCATATTATACCCCTGTGGCGTATTTAAAGGGGAAGATATAGGGAGATGCGTCTGTCCCCTTTATACTCGTTCTTAGTAACTATATATCATATTATACGACTACCTATTTTTCAAATTCAAATTTACTTTCTTTAAAACGAAAAAAAAACGCGTCGATAGGTACCTCCTACTGTCATAACAGTTAGTATATTTGAAAAAAAAACCCGAACGTAAAGGCATGTATTATATAATTTCTTGTTAGATGAGTACCGATCTAGTAAATAAAACTAACAGTCATATTGATTACTATAACACTCATTGGATACAATTGATTTTTGTACGACAAACAGATGCGTTTTCTATGAAGCAAAACATTTATTTCAGCCAAATCATATAATTGCGTATTTTGTAATATTACATAAGACCCCGCAGTCGTTATACTCGGAATACCTAATGATTTCGGGTGGTTGTTTTAAGCCGGAAAATCAATTCATCGGACGCGTACTTTGTTCGGAGTGTTAGATTCATTATGGTATAATATTTTTATTAAAAAGAATATTAATAATAAGAGGCGTATTAGTTACTTATTGTCTAAACATATAATATGCACGTAATATTATAGTATACGCGTATCGTTCCGCGTAAGAGGTCATAAAACTTACCTACATTAATTTGAATACGCATTGTAGTTCGGTTTTAAATAACGTATTAAAAAAAAAATAATAACAATATGTGTATATATATATATATATAATGTATAGGTAATTAATATATCACTTCCTATCGATATGGAAATTCAATGATTTATTACAATATCCAATTTGCGATTTAGACATATTATATTAATAGATACACTAAACTACGCAATTAATTTAATTATCAATCCAATTAAAAAAAAAAAAAAAAACTTCTCGTGAATAAAATGAACAGGCAGTGCGGAGCGTAATATTAGATTTCTAAATTTCCGAGTATTTAACTAAAAAAGAGATTTCCAAACCATTAATTTTAATGGCATCGCACCATCGTCTCGTACGCGTTATTTCTAGTTTTTGGCTACGAATCACACTGTGCAGCCGATTAATAATATAATACTACACGGAAACCAATTATAATATTAAATGTACACATATATATATATATTTTTTTTTATACAAAAAATATTACAAATGTGACGTAAAATGTTTATCAGAATATCATCATCGTCGTAAATACAATTTTATCGTTAACCATCGTGAAGCTCGTATATTATTATATACCGTGTGCTCGAATAAGTAGAAAAATAATAAAGGGGGATACTATACTATATAATACGAGACTATTAGAAAAAAAAAAACAAATATTACCTACCGATTTTTGCAATAATTGAATACTGAATCTAACCCGTGGGAGAGTAGGGGTGGCTTTATCCCTCACGAGGGTTTACATCCCTTTTCAAACATTCATATAGCTATAATAATTTATATATGTAAACAAAATCCAATCCGATTATTGTATTTGTTTAGATATTTATTATTATTGTACATTCTGAGTGTAAGTAATTGGTGTTCGTACACTCAGTGAAAAATCTATATATTACTAAATTACTGTTTTTTTTTTTTTAATTAGTGTTATTATTTCATATATATTTTTAAAATAAATAATTATAATAATAGCTAGTATGTATAGCAAGTACAGTATAGGTACTTGCAAAAGTAGAATAAGATTTAATGCCCTCTAAGGTTTAATGCAATTTTTATTTCATTTAATGTTCAATTATTAAATTTATTTTGTTTTTTAATATACGAGATGATATTAGTACGGTTAAAGTATTCGCTGAAAAATGATAAAATAGTGTCAAATTCTAAATATCACGTAGGTATACGTTTAAGTTCATATGAGATAGGTAACTATGTATGATTCATGAACATATTTTATTTAGCAACGCATAACACCCAAAGTCTCAGCAATACGCACCTAATAAAATATTATGATACACCGACAAAATATTTGTTAAGAATTTGAAAATCTGTATTTGATAAAATGTATACATTATATAAATATCATAATACTTAGTTAAAGTATATTTTAATTTATTGAATTACAACAGAGAATTAAATATATTATAATGTCGAGTTCTAATATAAAATATTATTTGGTCATATTGCATAATTTTTTTTCGTGGCTTTAGATTTTATTGGGTATAGCAAGAAGTATAGTTGATTTTACTATGGTCATGGAGCGTGTTTTTCTTCTATTTAATTTTTAGTGTCTGTAAATAACTTTTATACCAGAAATCATAATCAGATCATCGATGGACTTAAGGCACAGTTTTCGGTGGACATTTTTTGCTGGATGGTGCATTTAGGAGGCAGTTTTTTTTTTTTGTAATTTTCTTAATAACAGTGAAAAACGGGATTATTTACGTTATAACAGTTTTGTTATTTCAGTAATTCGGTGAAAAATGTCCGTAGAAATTAGAAATGTTCACTGAATATGTAAATTAGCCTTTTACCAGAGACTCGGTATAAATTTCTAAGCATATTTCAGATAATTCTTAAGTTATTTTAAATGTATGGTTTTATTTGTATTATTTAGTTTTATATGGATCTAATATTTTAGTATCTTCAAAATGTTTAGAAAAATTCTATAAAAGTTACATCGTAAGTTGACAATATAACACTAAATAAATATCGAAAATCCATAGCTAGACAGAATTTTCTTTTTGTACAAACATTTAACGTTTGAATTTTGATGACAATCGTAATAATCACGGCTAATTACCGATTATTTTCCGATTTGTGTATATCTATACAATATTTTTGCTCGGCAAAATTGCTCAAAAATTTGACACAATATTCATTAATAGTTGTATTTAATGGGGAGAAGGGAATGGTTAGTTTATTAATATTAGATTAAGTTAGACATAATCTAATAATTTGTTTGTAATAAACGGGTTGAGTTAAAAAGTTCAAATTTTGATGAAAATCGTAAAACTCACGGCAATTTCGCGTATTATTTTCTGATTGAGGTATTTATGTGGTTAAGAATTGTTTGGTTCTATATAAATGCTAAAATATCAATACGAAAAAGCACGGACAAATTGTATTTTATTTTGTAGTTAAAAATTAATATACATTGTTCAATTTGTGTTTATTCAAACGCGTTTCACCAAACTTCGCTCACAATCGTTTTTTGTTAGGAAAGCTTTATCGTTACGCACGGGTATAAATAAAAATAATATATAATTCATATCTATATACCATTCTTACCTTCCCAAATTTCCACATTTAACGGTGACACTACACCTCTGATGCTAAGCAACTACGTCGGTTTTTTTTGTAACCAAATATTTTTTACAGGGTATAAAATTATTTGACTCAAAATTTAATTTTTTAGTATTGCGCGTAGGTCCTGTATATATATTTTAAAGGGTTTTCGATATTTTTATAATATGTGTATTGTTTCGGTAAGAAATTTTTATCACAAATTCCAAGTCGTAACAAAAATATAATAATATAATAATTAAGTAACCCACTGAAAAATGTATTTCTGCAGTTTGATAAAATAATACGCACTTGAAATCCAAAACTACTGAGTAAGTAAGCAAAATAAAATGCGATTTATGAGTTTACTGTATACCTAAACTACATGTCATATTATTGTATAGTTAACAAATAAACAAATTTATGCCTAGGTCACCACACAAATTAAATCAGATCAACAAAAACAAAACGCATACGCACCATCAGAAACATCCGAACCTCAATAACAATAATAATCATAATAATATAATTACTATCATAATATAATGATAATAGCTCTAATAATTGTCAATTATTACAGCCCATGGGTTAGGTTAGGTTAGGTTAAATTATATTAATTATTGCGGTAAATAATCGTATTGAAATTACTATTACTTACTATACATTTTCACAACTAATGAAGCTTATCAATAAACGTATACTGTAAATGTACAATAGTTTAATTATATATTTTATTCACATCACATCTAGACTGCATGTAGTATCTAAACATTTTCGAATTTCTATTCGTCGACGCATTACAAATGTCACAAATCTTCGAAAGTGTTAGTATAGGTATTCAGTAAAAATGTCGATTTAAAATTTTAGATACCCTATAAAATGATAACACCAAGAAGAGACAATATCTCCGTAAAAAACAGCCACGATCATTTCGGAGAAATTATGGATAATGTGAATGTCTACCAAGGTTTTATATTACTACACATGGACAGTAATAAATAATTTTAAAAAAAGAACTGATTGTGAGTAAAGTTCAGTTTTTAATGAACATGATTTTTGTGAAAAAAGGTACAATTTTCAAACTGCAATTAATGGTCCCGGCGAACCATTGATGTTGAGTAATCCATACATTCGTGTAAACATGGTAAAACAGAAATTAAATGAACAAAAAAATAATAATTAAAAATTAACGGTCTTCAACCAATAAACAAATAAAGAAAATCGTTCGGTTTTTGGGTAAGGTATGATTATTTTTTAATGGAATTCCTAAGAAAAACAAAAAAATAACTCCCTAAAGCATCAAACAAATAAAAATTGACTTATAAAAAAGACGAACATACTTCGAACGTGGGCAGGCCATTGTTATAAGTAGGAAGTTGGGAAGGTAGGATACAGATGGAAATTGTATAAATATCTGAAAGCAAGAATTAACCATTGCTAACGAAAAAACGATTCTGAGCGGAGGTCAGTTGATAGTTTTGCCTTATCAATAATATAGATATCATATTATGGCAAAATAATTACATATGCATTACATATTTTCTTTAGTAATATTTGTTTAATAATGTACCGAATTCCCATTATTTTACTTGTCCCATGTTTTTCCATTTATTGGAAAAACTCCTGGGAATATCAAAAAATAACATCCTTAAAGTACCATTCAAATTTATTTTTAGAAAAAATGCTACACTTGTAATTTGGAGCATTATTTCTGTTAGAAAAGTTGTTCACAGATAAAAAAAAAACAATAATAATAAATAAGAACCGTAAGCTTCTTCGCTCCACTCAGAATCTAAAAGATGCTAACGTTGAAGATTTCTGGTAGAAAATATATAGACAAACAAAAAAAAAAACCCGCAATAAATTCCTAGCTAAGTTCAGAATCTAAAATGTTAAATTACTACCTAGCCATATAAGACCCTTCTTTTTCATATTGTCAATTGTATTACACCGTTAGTTATACATAATTATTATACAATCTATATAACAAAATATTTCAAAGTTCAATACCTCCCTTCTTGGCAAAATCCTAAACAACACTATTACCTAGAAATGCATTACAGAAAAAAAAACAGTTTTCGGTAGTTAGTTATTTTACTATACAGGGTGATCAACATAACGTGAAACACTCGTTTTCTCGGGAAGTATTAACATTTTTTTTTAATCATTAAAAAATAAGTAGCTTTAAAATGTTACATTACCTTTTTTTTTTTTATCATCATTATTTTAGAAGGCAAAACCACTACCTACTTATGACTTTCGAAATGCAATTTACATTAAAAGTTCCATATAATATATGAAATATTAGTTTAAATCAATTTTGCTGTTGACATTTTTAATCTCTGTCAATTCATTAATAAGGTATTTCACTTTTAGGTTCGGCGGGAGTAGTGGTGTATCATTTGTGTGGCAACTTAAAAGTATGTTTTACAACTTTCCCCTATTTAAACTTTAAAGTGAAATATATCATCAATGAGTTGACAGAAATCATAAATTTAAATACCAACATTTATTTTAATTGATTCTCCATCTATTTATGGAATTTTTAGTATAGATTGCCATTTAAAAATCAAAAATAAATAACGATGTCATCCCTTAAAATAAAAAAGTAACAAAAATTAACCGTAATATAACATTTTAGAGTTATTTTTTTTCTGAAATAATAAAATACCACAAATTCCGAAAAAAGTTAAGTCTTTCTGAGATAATGAGTGTCTCACGTTATGTTGATTGCCGTGTATAAAAATACCTATCGCATTCTTCCGAAATTTCCTACGGTCAATCTCCACAATCGAATATAATACATTATATCTATAGGTATAGTATCGAAACGATATAAAATATAATTATTATTATCCTGCAGGTCACATTATAAAATATATAGGCATCCGTAAGAGAACATAGAATCGTTTAAAAAAGTATGGGTAACTGCAGGTATATGTGGAATGTGGTAGTGCGCCTGTATTATTAAAATATTTTAATCGAAATTAAGTACGTTTATCATTAAGGAATACGTATACATATACATATATAGGTGTTCGAGTATTTGCGTGTTATTGAATGTTATAAAAAAAAATTTGTTTAAATTAAAATTGTTTAAAACGGTTAATTATATACGTCTACACATAAATTATAATGTAATAAACTTACCCATTTTTTATTATCATTAAATATATGGTTATAAAAATTGTATTATATACAATATAATTATTGCAAATCCAGCGTTGTATCTATACATAATAATATTTAATCCGTATTTTACACTTCTAAGTGAAATTTTGCAACAAACTGCGTAGTAGTTATGTTGAAAAATTGTAGTTTTTACTATGATTTGAACGCTTTTTTTCTGTCAGTGCGACCGAGTTTTCGACCCGTGAGGATTTTATGCAATTACATGAATACATATCATATAGCTATCTTTTAGCATTCAATAGATCTAGACTAGACCAGTGTTTCTTAACTTTTTTTAGTCTGTGCCTCTCTCGTAGATTTTCAAAAATCTTATCCCTACCCTATTAATAAAAAAAATTAACTTATTGATTTTAATTTTAGATATGTTTTAGATAAACATAAATATTTCATATTTTATTCTTAAAATTTCATCATCGCTATATTACCCCCCCCGCAGTACCTAAATTCCTTCATAGTAAAGAATTTTCCCCTCTATTCCTCGTTGAGAAATACTGATCTAGACGGTGGTGTATTTTTTTAATGCCCTAAGAAAAACGGCAATATTTTTAATGGAACTCGTAAAAAAACTTGCGAAAACTATTACTTGAATGGAAAGCTTTTGTATATCATTTAAATAACAAAGTTAAAGGTTTAGATTTCCATTTATTATAATTTAATTAAGGCGTTTTAAACATTTAGGTGCACAACTCATGTCAACTCGACTTATTCGATTTATACTTGTGTGGATTATTTTATGATAAAACATTATGTAGTGACCGCCAAGGTCAAATATCGAACGCTTTTCTGTAGTATTTCACTAACATATAAGTAGGAAAAAGAAACAATTGAAGGTGAATCAAATAAAAAATTGATTACATGTAGCTGTGTGTAAAGCGTCAAACCATGTCGAAGATCCGAAACTGCAGTATGTGAATATATTATTATATGGTACGTATGGTACAAGAAGAAAAAAAAATCTGTCCTTTCAATTTAATATATTCTACAAAAAATTATTATGCAATAATTGTGCGAATAATTTAAAATAATGTTATCATAAATTATTCAACTGTAAAATAATACTTGTTTTTTCCATCATGTTTTTCTGATCGTAATGATGATAATTTCGAAGATCGTATTTCAGCTGCAGTATAATATTAGGCAAGGTCAAGAATTTAAGTATAAGTATAGGAAGTCCAGAAGATATTTTAAGGAATTTCCATTAGGCGAATAAAATCTAGGACTCAAAATCTAAAATAATAATAATAATAATAAAGCACACAGACCACCGACAAATTTTTCTCGCTATGCTCAAAATCTGATATTACTCAGTAAATTATTCAACAAAATATCGAAATAGTATTACATTATAATACACCATTGAAATCATTTTTAATAGTCAATACTTTTTAATATTTTATTATTAAGAAACAATCATTCTGAACTCACTTATAATTATAATTAATTATAAACGTTAATTATTTCATTTAAATAGTTAAAACAATAGCATAATACATATAATATTGTATTCATTCATATAATGTTATGCATCTTTAAAAAAGCGTTTTAAAGAAAAATTGATAATTGGAAGAAAAAGTTTTTTTTTTTGAAGACAATAAGTGAATATCCCTGTAATTATTTTGAAAAATTGTTAACATTCTTTTACTGATATTCCTCAAATTTGTTCGACAAGATAATATAAAAAAAAATTGATGTCAAAAATGCGATTTGTTAATATTGGAGGTAATGTGAATAATTGCAATACATAATATGTTACATAGTTACACTCTAGTAGTGAAATTAGGATGCACCTACCTAATAAAATATGCGTTTATGATAATACAAATTTCTGTTTTTTTTTTTTTTACATTTACATATTTATATATTAATAATGAGAAGACAATTAATATATAATTTTTAATTATATTATAGTGTTAGTTAATTATTGTGTTATTTAAAATATTACATTTCAATGTTTTTTTTTAAATTTTAAATACGTTTAAGATTTTTGTTTTTTTAGTGCGTCACTATCACAGTCACAGTTATTTCGTATTATGGCATTGTAGATAAGTTTAAAAATTGTAATTGCTTATGCATTTTATTTGGGGGGGGGGAGGGGATAAGGAGACACTTTTCACTTTTCGGTTTTATGTGGTTTCATGTAGGGTGCATTTGACTGCAGGTTCTATCGAAGTGAAAATAATATAAACTTTATTATAATCGACTATTATTGTTGTACAAAGAGAGTGAGAGAGAGTGAGAAGGAATTTACCGGTATATAGTGATACGGGACAAATTACCGGAAATCGGATTTTGAAGGGTTTTATAGGACACAGCATGATTACATTTCGACTTGCGTAGTTAGGTTTATTATAAAACGCACGGTTGAAAGAAAAAAAATATATAGAACGTAATATATTATTATTGTATTATTATTATTATTATTATTATTATTATACTGTGTTCGAAGCATTGTGTGTTGACCCCACGAGCGCGTAGACGTTCTAAAACGGTTTTTAGGGACCACCTCGTAGCCGTTTTATACGCGTGTGCACACGCACGTATACGTCGTCGTCGTGGAAGTATAAAATATGCCCTCGAAGAAATAACGTTTATAAAAATCCCTCGAACCGACGATGCACGTGTACGACGACTGTATAGGAAATATACAGGGTGATTCTTTTATCGCGAACCGGCCATTATCTATACGCGATATCGAGTGGAAATTCTCAGTCGTTATAGATACCTACCGACAAAGATGATCGTTTGTTAACGACGCTGTTTTTAATATTATTTCCAATTTTATAATCCGTACGTTTATATAAAAAAAAAACATACTAACCGCTATATGCTTATAGGACTTTTCAAACTAATAGCAACCAACCCTTTCACCCGCATTTTGAAATTGGTTTAGGTACCGTTTTTAAAGGTTTTAAACAAATGTTTAGGTATACATGTACATCGGTGTATATATATAGATCGCGGTGGAGTATTTTGGGACAAATATAGGATTATCGCGTCTAAACACGATAACGTGATAATATACGGTATACGCGAAACGTATAACAAATCACCACCCTGTATAATATACTGATTATAGTGTGCGTGTCTCGTTTGGAATGCTGCGGCGGGATATTATATAGATCCACGTGACTGTTTATGACTATATAATACCGTCGAGCGTCGTCGAAGGGGAAGAAAAAAATTCCGGATTCCGAACGCGGAGAAGATTAATTGATTTTTGGTGAATCATATTCTCTGAAAAAAAAATAAAAAAAATAAAGATCTTAGTAGACAAAAAAAGGACGCCGTAAAATTATTATTACAATATTATAACGTCGGCGTTTTCCTCCCTAGGCGGAACAGGTCCCTGCGTGTGGTGGTGATCGGTTACAACAGGTAGTTTCGTATCGTAGCCGCGTAATCCGACTGATTGTTAAAAAATAATAATATAATATACGCTAGGTACTTAAAGATAATGTCATACCACCATCTACTGTCTCCGTATTATTCCAACACACGACATAGCAAAATAACGTTACTTGAAACACAAAGGTGACGTTCAAGTTGACATTAGAGTTTAAATGTATAAATTAATAACATTTTAAGGGGAGAATATTTTCGAAGGCTATACGTAGCTTTTTATGGCCATGTTAGTTTTTGATTTTCTTTTGTTTTAAATATAGTTGTAATTTTTTTGTACGCCAACTTTTTTGAAAACAGCTACGTATAGGCATACAGCTCTAAGAAATATTCTTCTCATGATACTTCGTATTTGTGTTAAAATTCTAATTTCAACCTGAACGTCCCGAATAATTTACATTCTAAGTAACGTATTTTTATCCATTTTGTTTGTTAGTTAGATCGTGACAATAAATGTGAGTATATAGTATCCTCTTAAAAAGTCTTCACAATGGCTTTTTTCGGCTTTGTTTTTCTTATGGGAAATATAAAAAATATTTATTCACGTATAAAACAAAAGAAAATGTCTTTAAAATCGGTTTTAGAGATAAAAAATCTATACAAATATTTTTAAAACAACGTCATCAGGTTTTTTTGTTTACCTTCAAAACCTTAAAAAAGTTGATAATAAGTTGAATATTTAAAGAATATTGTAAAACGCTAACGAGATTATCTTGAAAATATTAGTGTCGAACAAATTGCATGACTTGTGTTTTACCTTTAAAACCGATTTTAAAGGTCTTCGTTTGTTATACGCGAACAAATCGTTGCTTTATTGCCTATTGACAGACTGACAATTTCACTTTGATAGCCCCTTAAATATATACAGAGGGATTTTACCCGTGTTCGTTTTTGGAGGTGAGTCGTCTTCCTGTGTTGCTGCCATAGTATTTTTACACTTATTACTACGCGATGATGTAATTTAATACCTACCGCCGGTGAAGCTTCTCATCAAAGTCGTCGTCGTCCGGTCTATTCTGGGAGGTAAACGGAGACGTTTAATGAGTTCAAGGAGTCTCCACGAGATAAAATGTCCAGAAATATTAGGAGGGCGCTACATTACTATACACGTCATGCATCTGTTGTCTTCGTCTTACAAATGTACGGCATAGTAAATTTGCGTTAGCGCAACAAATTTTGTACTGTTAGGTTAATTTTAAACCAAATTTATCTATTATCAAACTTAAAGGTTTTATTTTACCAGTGTATAAAATATGATAATAATTTAAAAAGGCTTATATTTTGCTTAAAAATTCAAGTATCAGAAAGACTATCATATAAACACAGATAATATTCTTAGCATTAAGTGTAATAATGTGTCAATTCACTGTAATATTAATACTATTAAGAGTTCAAAATTAGTTTTGCTGATTGCGAATTTGCTATGTCATGCGTTTTCAAACAGAGTTCAAGTGTATGTGTGTGCACTCACCGATTTTCGAAAATATCGTCAGAAAACTATTACTGCTGAAAAAAACACACAGCAAATTGCAATAGAGTATTAATTTGTGTATAATACGCAAATTTAAGAAGAGACGAAAAACGAAACATTGTGTAAAATAATTGTTACATACAGATACCTACAATTTGTCGCGAACATTTTTCCTATTTTTACGATTCAATAATAATTTTAGTATACTGTTTTTTTTTGTCCGACCAGTGATAGTAATGGAAAGATTGGCCGTCATCATATTGACGTTTCCATTCACTGTCAGTATGCTGTCGTTGTCCGCGGGCCACCGCGTGAAGGCTATTTCCGTGCCCCCTTTGAATTTTATTTAATTTGGCGAGAGCTGATACAGATTGAGAGATTGATTTTATAATATATTATAAGCTACACATTCATATGCGGAAATTGGTAAGCAATAAGGAAATTTAGTTTCTAAAGTAAATAAAGTTTCTGCTATACATTTAAAGATGGATAAAATTTTACTAATTTTATTTTATTTTTATTGGCGCAAATTAAGGAGAGCGGCATGGATGGGAGTAGCCCCTAGAACTCAGACAAACCACACAAACTAAGTTTTCATTAAGTAAACACTATTAGTATACATAATTATATTATAGGAGACTAAGCCCCTTATAAAAGCTATTTGTATCTATGGTTTGTTTTCCTATGTTTTGAAGATAATTCGGTAATATGACGCGTTACTTTTTCAGTTGATTTATCTTGTAAACTCGACTGCATAAGTAGGTATTATACTATTTTTATTTATTAACTACTTTATTAGATTGATTAAAATAATCGAATGGCAATTACCATAGTTAAAGTATGTATACAGTGTGACATAATTTTCTTCGAGTCACTTGAAGCTGTGTAGCTGCAACTCTGTATACTCGGTTCCAGTGGTGCGAGGATGTTAGACCGGACGTCGATTTATCTGCAATAAACTCCTCGAAGCGAACGGTACACACGTCGTCTAACTCAAACTGATATTTTTTTAGTAAAATTGTTTTCTTTGAATTTTCCTCGAAAATAGAAACATTGCACTGTATTGTGTTTGTGATATATAACAATTACATTTGGACAATTTTAGAGCCTTCCTTTGAACCAAAAGAACTCAAACTTGGGAATTAGAGTGGTTTTTTTAGCTTTGTGCACTCCTACTGACCTCCAAATGAAGCCAGAGGAATATAAGTTTGTATATACACGGTGTAAGTATCAAGGATATGTATTTTGGCCCAAACTTTCAACTCTCCCGACCATTTTTATGCTCAGTTACCATGTTTTTACAGGAGATAACGGGGTTTAAATACCCTTACAACGAACTTATGAACTTTGTAAGAGTTGTAACAAGTAATCCGAAAAAAATCTCCGGAAAAAAATCCCTGCGAATAAATTCCCCGAAACAACTATACTATTAATAATAATATGTAACAAAACTTACAGACATGTCTACTTCATTTTTACTTATACATGTATGTATAAATTATCGTATAATCATTGTCATCTGTATGGTTTTTTAGCCTATAATGATTTCGTAAAGTAAAAAAACGAACTAGCCAATATTCCAAAAATAAATTTTTGAATATAACTGTATCTACTTTCTCAAGGGAAGCCCGCATAATGTCGGCTATTTTGCTCATTTTTTTAAATTTATTTTTTACCGCTTGTTTTTGGCGGGAAACTCGACGCCGGGTCTTCGATGAGTCACGTAGAAAAAATCGTAGGACGACGCGCGCGTATAATAATATCAATTTAATAATAATAATATGATGTGCGTCGTCGTTTATTACAACGCCGCGGCCTGTACAACGGGGGCGAGAGCACATGGCGCCGGCGGCGGCGCTGCGGTCGTCGTTTGTACGGCAAAAAGGGCAGACGTTCCTCGCGCGTTCCGAGAAAACGGGACGCCGCCGCCGCCATAACGACGGCGAGGAGGAATCCGGTGGCTTTCCTGTGACAACGTGCCCGACGCACCGCGCGCCACGCATAGAGAGATATCTTTTCTGGCACGCATTCCGGGCGGCGTTAGTCACACTCTTGAAACTCGTGGCCGGTACGTGTGAATCACGTGGCGGCGGCGTGACGAGGGTTAGCTGCCGTCGCCGCCGCCGGGGTCCTCGACCGAGTCGAATATTATAACACGCGCTCGTGTAATACGGATCACTCGGTTAATTTTTAGATTCCGAGCGTAGCGAGGGAGCTATTGGTTTTACAATGCTGTTTATTTCTTCTTCATTGTTCTAGTCTGCGGACACGTATTCTCCTAGTAAACATGCTTTGGTGTATAAGTGTAACAACTTTTCTGAAAGCTCAAGTTGTCTAGACTGTACTTTAGAGAGGTTGTTTTTTGGTTTTTGACGCCATTTTTTTAAATAAAAGCACTTTAGTGGGAAAAAACGTAGGAAAACGGAAAACACGGACGACGTTTTCTACTACCAGAAAAAATGTTTTAATTGAAAAATCACAAGATACCTTTTTTTTTTAGCGGCTTTTGAGCTTTTAAGGAATTTAAACTTTTGAGAGTTTTTTTGCTGTAATTCAGTTATAAATACACGCAGAGATTTAAAACTTGGTAATAGTACTTATATTGGACTTACCTAGACGTGGTAAAATTTCCAAAATCATCGGACTACTTTTTTTCCTCTTTTAAATTTCTCTCTCCTCTTTTTCTTACAATAGTACTCTATTTTTTTTTTATACTGTAAACCACTTTTATCCTAAAAAATTTCCTCCGATGCATAAGTGTAGCACCTTTTCTAAAAGTAAATTTTATCTACTTAGTAAATACATGGGTCATATTTTGATTTTTGAAAGGATATTTAAAACAAAAACGATTAACCGGGGAAAAAAATACGATTTTTTCACGATTTCGTTATTTTAAATAAGTACCTACTACGTTTTCTAGCACAATTATGGCGCCAATTGAAAAACGACAAGAGACTTAATTTGTTGAAATATTAGTCTCGTTTAAAATGATGCTGGTCGTTTTTTAGTTTTCTAATTAGTTTTTAAAATAATCAGAAAAAAACATAGAAAGGATAGGTTAAAAAAAATTACGGCACTTCAAATTATCTATTACCGAACTGCGTTCGGAATCGTCTTTCATTAGCAATGGTTTACCGTTGCTTACAGATATAAATAAAATAATCTTATGTACCCTACCTTCCCAAATTCTCACCTATAATATTCCCTCTAAATCGCACTTGCCGATAAAAAACTGTACACCGTGATATTTTGGAAAATAATCTTTGATTTAATTTTCGATAATGGATTGGAATAAAATAATAAAAATAATAAAAAAAAAAAAAAAAAAATGAAAGCGACGAAAAAATACAACAGCTAATATTTTATCAGAATGAATCGCTAAACGCGGAACGGACACGGGTTCAAATTTAAAAACGTTTCAAAAAGGCCGGGCATCTTTGTACGTACTTGCGAAAGTATGCTTATAGAGAGGAAATTTAAAGATTAGAAAAATTTAGTCAAAATTAACTTTTAAACTGTAAAAAATGTTCACGATATGAAAGGGGTTTTTCTTCAGACTTTTTTAAAAGATATTTTATTTGAGCAATTTTACAATATTTTTTTTATTCTAATCGCAGTGAACTTTATTATATGATGTATGCTTTTTTTGTATACGTTAACATTTCTACTACCGGACATCTTGCTCCGATTTTCATTAGTAATATCTTTTATGAAAGCAAATTTTGTCTAGTTAGTGCATTATTAGCGGGGTTTTTGATTTTCTTTGAAGGTTTTTTAATATTTAAAAAAAAAACGTAAGGAAACGGGAAAATGTCCGTCACTTTCGATTCCGTTATTTCCTAATTTTGTGTTTTGTTGTAATTCAAATAATCGCAGAGACCTAAAATGATCAGAGAATACTTCTATAAACCTAATTTTCTAGACATAGTTAAAAAATTATGGCAATTTCTTAGCTAGTTATAGACAATTGATTTTATGTGAATAAAATAGTTTTGGCCGGACAAAGATGCACCGAAATTGGACACGAAGTTCGTCATAAGTTGTACTTGATTATAAAACGAAAAGTTCAGTGTAATGTACGATAATTTTTTTTCTTTTTATGTAAGCAAAGGTTCAAGGTTCAAATTTTAATGGAAATCGCGGTATTTCAAACCAAACTTTGCTCAGAATCGTGTTTCGTTAGCAATGATTAATTTTTGCATATAGATTTAATTTAAATATAACTATTTACGCATATCCTATCTTCCCACTTACAAACAGTGTCACATTTATCCGTCAAAATTATCAGCTCGTCGTTTTTTTTTAATAAGACTACGTTACGTATAATTATCCTTTTTTGCCGTTTCACGTATCCGTATGTACATCAGACACTCAGACATCACCCGATTTCTGAACATTTATGGAATTTTAATTAATCGACAGTTTGGTTTCCGGCGAATTTCGTCACTAGAAACTCTTGCGCGTGCGTATAATAATATAATATATGCATGCGTATATATTACTGCAGACTCGTTAAATTATTGAAATCTGAGAAAATATAGAAAAAGACTTATTCGGAGCGTGGGAAACGGACTCAACGAGAATGTAGGTACCTACTCATTATTATAAAAACGGTCGAGTTGCCAATATAAAATCATCATAACGATAAAATTATTAATATTATAAATTAATTACAGTAAAACTACGGCGATTAGTGTGATGTCATATTGTGTGATAACAATCTGCATCAAGTATGATTGGTTCCAATAAAAAATGTATTTACACATATATTATGAATATTGTATGGTAAAGTATAACTTTCATATTTTTATATTCTAAATTTTAAGCAGGTTTATATATTTCTTTTTTGGCTATAAACCTCATTTGAGTAACTCTTATTGAATAATAGTGTAATCTTGGTTTGTATATAGATATATTTTAATATAATACTCATATGTAAAGCATTAAAAAAAATATGGGCGTTATTATTGGGACTATTAAATTGTTTGGAGACAAATGATCCGATTATTGTTGATAACAGACTGATAAAAAAAGCATGCCGTAACCACTAATCGCCACTATTGTTATAATATAATTTATTTAATTTTTTTGATTTTCGTTTATGTAACATTCTTTTAGATTTGAAGTATATCGAGAGAGATATATTGATTTTACTATGATGTGTGTTTTTGTATTTATTTTTTTTATTTTTCGAATATGTGAACAACTTTACTATTAGACATCATACTCCGATACATAGAATGTAGCACCTATTCTGAAAGGAAATTTTATCTAGTTAGTGCATTAGAGAGGTCATTTTTTAAATTTTCAAGGGGTTTTCAAAAACTGAAAATAAAATTATCGGTAAAACGACAAAATAAATACGAGTATTTAAAGCGCGCCACGGCGTTACCGATTCCATTATTTTAAATTCATATACACGATGTTTTCTACCAGAAATCTTGTTCCAGTTGAAAAATAACAGATGATCGATTTTGTTCCATTTAATATCTAATCACTGATAGAGAAAGGTAGTTGTTTAATATCTATAAAGAAATTGTCATAATAATTAGAAAAATCCAAAAAAGGCGAAAAATACATTTTTTCAAAACTAAGGCACAACGATTTCATTATTTAATAGTTTTAAGATTATGTTTTTCTACCAAAAAACATTGTCAACATTTCAAGATTGGCATATTTTCTGAAAGAAAATGTTGTCTAGTTTTTGAGTAAGAAAACCGTTGTTTGATTTTCTGAACGATTTTTCAAATAATTACGAAACACCGGAAAAAAACGTAGGAAATACGGCAGTGTATACGACATTTCGATTTAAATAATAATATTGGCCTTTGTAGACATGGTAAAATTTTTCAAATCCTTTTAGTTATTTTTAGGCTATTAAATTATATGACTTACGAGAAATACTTGAACATTTAACACAGGGTGCATTATAAGTTATACCTACTTAGTGTTCTAAAAAACAAATATGCATTAGTTTTTTTTTTTTTTATAAGCATTTGAATATCAAATTTTGATGAAAATCGTAAGAACTATAGTATTTCAAAATATGTCTTATTGAGCTCCGCTCAGAATCGTTTTTAGTCAGCAATGATTAATCGTTGCGTACAGATATAAATTAAAAATAACTATCTATCCTATTTTTCAAACTACTCACTTACAACAGTGGATACTAGTATCAGTTCTTTTTTTTGTTTTTTTTGTTTGCTCTGCAAAACCGACAAACGTTTTATTACAGTATTGCTATAATATTATACCTATATCACTGTACTTGCTACTTCAGATTCTTTGTAAATCGTAATTAAATTTTTTCTTTAATAAGAAATAGAATTGTATAATATACATTAATCGCTTATTCATTATATTTTATAATGCTCGGTTTTCGCTAATTTCGCGCCGCATACAAAGAGACGCACATACGCATTAGCAAAGACTCGGCGAAACTCTTAATAGAGTTTAATAGTAAATCGATAATAATATTATCGTCTATACATAAGTACTTATATAAATATAATAATGAATAATATATATTATACTCTCCAACGGTCTAGACAGAATATTGTCGCGTTCGCTTAAAATAATCGTGTATTTTTTTTATAATGAGTTGTGTATACAGAGTGACTATATATTTTATCGAGGACCTGCAGCGATTCTTGTACACGGAGATATTTCAAATAAATTTGATTTTTTTTCTAACTATAATGATATACATATAGGATAGGAATGAAAATTATTATCTTTCCCTGATATTATTGTATATTACTGTTCGGTCTTAAAAATATATACGACTCAAGTATAATATCCGCGATGTTATAAATAATTATGCGTATCGACATTTTCTAATAAATGTTATAATGTGTTACATTCTCTTTTGGAATGCGTTGAATTAGCAAATTTGAATTTATATTTGAAAATCATTCGAACGATTCAAAAAAAAAAAAAACAAAAAATTCGAATCATAAACGCTGTTTGTGATTTTTTAACAACTTGAGCTCACTGGTACACCTACATATGGGTACAATTATAAAATTATATAACGGTAAATTTTTTTATTTTTTTATCGTTCGATTAGGTTACGCTCAAGAGTTCAACCTCATTTTACAAAATTGTATAATATTTATGTGTATTCGAACGAAACGTATTATATTGTACATATTATATTCTGAATAAATTATAATTTATCTCTACCTGTATTAAAATTCTGATTAAAATAATATACACAATATATAACCAAGCATTCGGCGTGTTTAACCTGAGTTCGCGGTTTCAGTAGAGTATAATGACTTGCGCTAGGGTTCAAGGAGTCGACAGTCGTGGTTTTTTTTTTCTAGTTTAGCCAAGAGGTTAATCAAAGCGAAATGCGAATTCGGGACATAACGTCCAGACAGAACAACGATGCGAATTAATTAGTGCACTGCTGTAATCGGACACGTGTAATCCCGGTCGCGTATTTACAGACCCCGTCTGAGTTGGGCATCACGTGTGACATCAATGTGTAAATACTCAACTAGACGTGATTTTTCGTCTACTATACGTACAATAATAAGTTTAATTTAATTAAGATATAATTTCTTTGGAGCAGCATCGGGTTTGGACCGACAAGGTATAAGTTGTGTTTTGTAAAACTCTTACAAAATCTAAATACCTATGTTCGGTTATGTTTCGTTAACGTTTGTGTAGTTCGGATAATCGCGAAGAAAGCCCGACGAAAAAAATGTCCATATTTACGAGAAATCAATTAATTATATTCATTATTTATTATTATACTATAATATGTTATATTAGTTACAAATACACAGCTATGGATAAAAACCGCGTAGCTAATGATGTGCGTATATTGTGCACGTGTCATGCACAAGTTGTAGAAGGCCATTTAGGATTCTGAGCGTATTTTTGTGGAGGTTAGGCTCATTAATCGTTTTTAACGATTAAATTTTATATATTATTTGCGAGATTCACGTCAATTTACGAAATGTATTTTGTGAACGATTATGATAACTACCACATTTTCTAAGTTGGACACTTTTTAACCCTTTTCGCCGTTCTTATTTAGACTATATATTTTATAAAACAAATACTATTACGACAAATTTTCAACAGAAAAAAATTAAAAAAAAAAATCAGCCCTACCAGATTATGGTGACGGTTGTAGGCAAAAAGTGTAATGTGTATTCAGGGTAATATTTAGTTAACATTTATTGAAAGCGACGACAAATTATTGCGATCTAAAAATGATTGATTGGTCGATGTGACAACTATATACTCAGGACTATAATAACCATATAACCTGACCTAACAACCCGTTATTAAGGAAAACAAAAGTAATTAAAAAAAAAAAGTTTCAAATAAAGTATCGCCAGGCGGAAAATCTTTGTATTTTTCCGGTAGGTACCTATATACATAATATAGATATGCGCGTGAAATATTCGATTAATTATTCTAATCGTAAAAGTGTTTTGACCGAGAAGATAAAAAAAAAAAAAGAGAGAGCTGATACTGGGGGGGGATAGGAGCGGTCACTGTTTTAGGTGAGAAGTTGGGAAGGTAGAATACATAAGGTTATTTTATTTATATTTGTAAGCAACCATAAACCATTGCTTAACGAAAGACGATTCCAAGCGCAATTCGGTAACACATAATCTGAAGTGCCGTAATTTTTTTTGCGATTTTCGTTTAAATTTAATTTTTTTAAAAAAAAAAGTCGTCCGATGATTTTGAAAATTTGATCACATCTATAATATAAGTATTATTACCAAGTTTCATGTTTTTACGTGTATTTATAACCGAATTACAGCCAAAAAACTCCCGAAAATTTAAATTTCTTAAAAGCTTAAAAGTTTTATCGATGATATCGTAAGAAAGTAAATCAAAAGACAACAAAAAAGGTATCTTATGATTTTTCGATTAAATCATTTTTTCTGATAGAAAACGTCATCCGTGTTTTTATAAAGTAATGAAATTGTACGTTTTCCTAAGTTTTTCCTCACTTAAGTGCTTTTATTTAAAAAATGGTGTCGAAAATCAAAAAAATTACTTCTTTAAAGTACAGTCTAGACAACTGGAGTTTTCAGAAAAGTTGCTACACTTATATATCAAAGCATATTTATTAGGAAATAACGTGTCCACAGACTAGAACAAAGAAGAAATAAACAACATTGTAAAACCAATAGCTCCCTCACTACGCTCAGAATCTAAAAAACATCGTAATAATCACACACGTGTTACACGATAAAATAAAAAATATACACAATCGTACATTATTATCATGTACACTGTACACGCACTATACACACACCGAATTACACGGATATTTTTGTTTATAGCTAGTAACACAATATTTATATCGTGTACACCGGAGACGCGTGCGGTCGTTTGAATAATATACTGGCACCTGTATATTCACGAGTTTAGACCGCGACTTATTTCGTAAACACGGTTAAACTCGACCGTTCAAGCATAATATTATTCGTTCATTCATAACGCATTTGCTTGATAACAGACTAGATAGGTGTTTGTTTTTTTTTTTTATTATTATTATTATATTAGGACCGCGCGCATAATATTATTATTATAATCGGCGACCGGCGACGACGATCGGTCATTTGGTCAATGAGGTTATGCAATAGGTGTGTATTATATTGCGGCGTTTCGCGCCACGTTCGATAATAATATTACAATATTATAATTATGGCACGTTTTTATATTATATTAAACACAATTATAATATTAATTCGACGAGTCTACAACATTATGCGAGACCTATTAATCGGTCGTTCGAATGAATACACATCACGTATAGGTAGTATAAAATACCCGCCACCGCCGCCGATTATAATAATAATGTCTTGTAGCGAGTTTGATGAGCGTCTGCAAAAAAATAAATAATAATAATAATAATAATAAAAAAAAATAAATACATTATTAATCGACTCGTATGCAATTCTGCAGATTAAAAAGCACTTCATCATCACACAGACACACACAATATAATTGATAATAATAATCGAAACGTCTGTACGGTATATTATTATCTTTTCGTTTTTGATTTGTGTATATATTAATATATATAGTGGCATCGGTAGTTTTAAGTTCACGTCTCGTGTTCAATAATATTATATTTGTACGTCATAACCATTTGTACATATTATAATATACATTATGCTTTCGATAATATCGGATAGTATTAATTGATCATAATACCGACGATACGCGTCAGTGTGAACAAATTTAATTTACCGGGTATCTTTTAACTACTATATTATTATGCGATTAATTTCACGTTATATACTTTATAACATCATATTACGCGCGCGTACAATTATTTTCTCGGCGTTCGTTCGAAAAATATTCATATTAATAGTAATATTTTAAGAAGGACTCGTCATTAACATTAGTTTTCTCCGTCCGTATTGAAGTGAACGATGATTTTTTTTTATAATACTTTCGGTTTTTATGAAGACACGCACGTTTGAATTTCCCCTCGATTTTAACCGTTCATAATTTATTAAGAAAGAATTTAACTATTAAAACAAAAAAATTCCTTCATAGGATCTTTCGTCTTTCTTCTTTCAAAATGCATAATAGATCCATAAATTCGACCAGAGAGCCGCAATCGTGGGAATGTGAAATACCTTTGTCGCTCTAATATACGTGCGAGATAGACAGTTGAGAAAACAAATGTTAACGGCGAGACCTCTTCAGCGTCAGTTAAGTCCTTCCGTTTCAATCAAAATTCGTAATAATGCAACTGAGAGCGGACATTCATAATAAAATAACAAGTCTTCTACTATCTATTATGGGAGCGGAATTGACCGGCGAGCAGTAACATAGCTAGGATTTCATTTTGGTGCCTGATGGGAGTCCATTTTTAACAACTAGTTACATTAAAAGTATAAGATATAAGTATAAGCAATTTATACAAAATCATAAATTATATTCAAATTTTGGGAGATAGAGATCAAGACCCCATGATCACCCTAGATGATTCTTGATAGAACCGCTGATCACATTATGTTTTATTATAATAGAAATATTATCATATTTTTAAATACATATCTAAAAACTATTAATAAATATTGGGTATTTCAAAATAATAATTCGCTTATACATAGATGTTTTCCACGAGCAACTAGTATAAAGTATTTACTCATCTGATAGCAAAAAACGCATCGTGCAATTGCGTGCGCTAGTAAATTAGCATATTATAATCACGGTAGTTGCTAACGAAATTTTTAAGTTGAACAATTTTAGCTTTTTAAGCAACTATACGAGTACAATAAATTGATGCCTGAAATATAAAAAGTGATCTTTTAGGTTTTGATAATTTTAGTATAACAAAATGACCTCATCATATTAAGGATTTATTGAGTCGACATTTCATCCCACGGCATGAGATGATAATGTAACAATAATAATATATAGTTAGAATGTTTATTATTATAATTTTTTGAATTCCAAATAATTCCCATTTTTCGGTTTCTTAAAAATGTTTGAAACTTTGATAAAAGGTTCATCGTAAATTATTTTTATGGCACTAGAAAAATATCGAAAATTCGTATTCACGATTGACTTACAAAAAAAAGTTTTAGAATTCACATTGCACATTATACTGTTAGTACGACTTAATTATAATAATATATTATTTAACACCTATATAGGTACACTAAAACACTTATTATTCGTAAAAAACCACAAACATCTTCCATAGAGGAAAAAATATAACTATAAAATAATAATAATGCATTTATCTTAAATTTATGACGATAAATACCTCATATAATTTGAAATGGTTTTTTATTTCTTTTTTTCAATAGTTATTAAGAAAATGTATATTATTTTAAATTTAGGTCATTTTCTTTTGTAGTACAGGTAAATCGTTGAATTATAACTTAAAAATACTGCATATGAAACGAAAATTAATTACTTTTATTTAGGCATACAAAAACGTAGCTTAACTGAAATACTTTAATATGTAATCAAATTGCCTATATTTACGTACACATTAAATATTAACATATTATTGAAAACATTTTTTAGAGTTTCCCTCAAAAATCGAACGAAACCAATACAAATGAAATGAAAAATAAAACAATTATACTGTATTGCAGTTTTTCTTTTTTTTTTTTTAACATTATTCATAATTTGTAATAGACATGGCCGATAAAAAAAACTTTTAAACCTATAAGAAAAAGACCATGAATTTGGAGGCCTAAAATAATATTACTCATATATGATAAACGACGACGTCTAAATAAACGACAAACCTGTAGCGGCGAGGCTGACGTGTTATATTTCACAAAACTTGTCTTATATATTATATTTTTTTTTCTCTCAAACCTATACCGAATGATGTAATATGTACTCTCGCATACACCGACTACCCGTATCAAATTAAAACGTAAAAACTTCTTTAGAGATTAGTATTCTATTATATAGGTATGTATATATTACTATTAAAATATTATAATTATTGCATCATATTATGCGATTATAATGATAAAAAAAAAACATAATACAGTGGAAAAATAAAAACTACGAGGGACTATAAGACTAAAAATAATTATTGTTCCTTGTAATTATTGAACTCAAACTACTAACCGTGGGGCGCTTTGCCTCATACACTACCCTTACACCATTTTTTAAACATAATTTAATAATTATTAATTAACGAAAGAAAAACACACTAAAATAACTTATTGACTTGTTGCAATTAAAATCCATTAAAACATCACTTAAAAATATTAAAAAAAACAAAAACAGTAGAAGTATTTCAAAGTCCCCCAATCTAACGACTCTAGCTTATTAAATTTAATTTTAAACACCAAGTACGAAAATGATTTTAAAAAATTACTTTGTATTAATGTATTATTAAAAGAAAAACATTGTGCTTCCTACTTCGTGCTTATAGAGAATAAAATGTTTGAAAAATTAGTTTAGGTATTACATCCCCCTTCCCCCTATCACAAGTCAGAACACTCCTATAGTACTTCCTATGTATGGAAAAATGGAGAAACGTAAAAAAACGGACACATCATAAATATTTGTTATCTATTTTTGTTAATTTGTTTTACAAATGTAATTCTACAAATTATAATTTCGTATATCCGATGAAATCTAAATAATTTTTTCAGTCTCTATAAAAATATATATTTGTTTGTATATCCTACAAGTACGTGATGTGCATACAAACGACTCAATTATATTTTTATACGACGTTACGTCGTATCATTAAATTTTTATTTCAGGAAACGTTTTATTTTTATTTTTCTAAAAGAAATGTCTGCTCCTCGGTCAGTCAATGGAAAAATGATTTGGCGTTTATTTATGTATACAAGCGGTCGTGTCTGTATTTAATGTATTCGAATATTATCCTGATGTTTCCATTGGCGCAGTAACAGCGGCCATGCGGGACGCAAGCGATGGAACATTTCACTTTAATGTCTTCTGTGTGCAGAGCCATCTGCGTCAGTGAACATGGGAATTTATGTATAAAATACGTTAGAAAAGAGAAAATTAATTAATACGAAAAAAAAAGACCCGGTCCAAGAGCTGTTCTGTTAGGTTAAAAATATATTATGCTATAACTCGGGTTGTATTGTAGGTGATAAATATTATTACACGAGGGCTGCACGATATTATAACGACTTCGAAATAATATGGCCGCAGGCCTATAATAGCTATACGACTACATGTTGATATTTATTGCCAGATTATTTTATTTTTTGTCTTTGGACCAGTCAAAACGCGTTCAATTATCCGTATAAAATATATACCTAATGATTATTTTCGTTTCTCAGTCTACCACACGAACAGGACATTATACGAGAGTATACATACAATAATATATTTTTTTTTCACTTTTAATTAAACGATATATAAAAGACGACAGAATAATATAATATAAATTCGAATAAACAAAAAAATAAAAATAAAACAACGATCGTGTCCAAAAATCTACTGTTACTGCGTCGTATCGAAACGCATCTCCACAAAAAACACGCCCGCTGTTGGTATTATTTAATTTTATACTTACTAAAATTATACAACCGACGCTGCCGAGTTTTACCGAAATATAACTTACGCACTTTCAAAACATAGGAATATTTTCGGGGACAATAAGTACATTGCTGCTGTTTTTCTCTAAACTATTATCAGACAAAAAAAAATTAATAAATAGCATGGCTTTAACTTTGTGATTTGACAATTTTTAGATAATACAGAAACGTATTGCCAACGAAAATATTCTCCTTTTAAAATAATTATGTTCTTTATGTAAGATCTAATTTAAATCTAAGCACCACAACATCTTTGTTCTGATTATAATGCATAATTTGTCTATGTTACCCATTAGTGCAACATTGATAAAGTAAATGCTCTTATTAATATTAAATCAATCGGAAATCCACTAACCAACAGCAAATATAATATTATGGTAATGGTTAGTCGAAAACGGAATGCAATATTAGTAAAATTAAGATAATAAGATATCTTTCTTCTTTTGTCCCGATCACTCTCTTTTTGCCGCCATAACTACATTTCGCCATCTGTTTCTATCTTGAACAATAAATCTCTTCAGTTATCAACTTCTAAGATTTCAAAATCCTTTTTTACCATGCCAATAAATCTTTTCCTACGTTTTCTTCTAGTTTTTCTTCCCTAAGGTTTCCATTAGCTATTCTAACTATCTCGTCTTCGTCTTTTTTCCTTGTTAAATATTGAGTAACTTTATTCACTGCCTTTTTTAACACGTTGACCACGTCGGCTGTTTCTACTATTGATTTACAAAATTCGTTTTAAAATAATTATAGTATACATAAATTGATTAATGCTTATGAAAGGTATAAAAAAAAACAGAAAAAAAATAAATCAAATCCAAAATAACAGAACGCGAAATAACAAAATGTTAAACGATTATTCTATTTTTTATACCTAAAATATATTAATCATATTTGATTTAAAATTTGTTGGGTTATTTGAACAATTATTTATTGTTAAATAATATCTGAATTATTGAATAAGAAATATGATCTTTATAACTTGTTCTACTTTAGAATTATGTCAATAAACATTTATAATAATGATGTTATGTATTAAGTATTTAAGTGCTTAAATCTTGCTACTCCCGTTTAACTATTTTTGTTTTTCTCAGAAATTGAATATTATAATATTTTACCCAGAAAGATATTTTCGAGAGTCTCAATTTTATTGATGTATTTTAATAAGCACAAAACACGCCATTGTACTTATAGTATTTTATTCTCCCAATTTATAGGAAAATAGGGATTACCTATATAGGTTGTCCTGTTTTATCCTTATGTTAATAATTCTGTCAATACTCATTTTTTTTTTCAATCGGAATTTTTGCGAGAGAAACACATTTGTAGAGAAAAATACAATTTTTATTTTCAACCCTTAATCACTGAAAAAATTACTTTTTATTTTTTCACTTTTCAAAATTTTCAAAATAACCATTTTTTAAGAGATATTATTCTAAAAAATTTTAAAGTAAAATGCATTCATATCTGATCAATAGTTTCTTAGTAATAACCATTTTAATTTACTTAAACAATTGGCGTGAAAACAATTAATCTTCAATAGGATAACACGTTACGCGATAAGGAATCACAATCAGCACGGTAGTTCTTAATATTCTATTGAATATTAATTGTTTTCATGCCTATTTTCTATACATTAAATCCACTATAACTAAGGCACTATTAATCGGAGATAAATGATTGGACACATTAAAATCTTTTGAACAATATATTTCACAAAATGGCTATTTTATTAATTTTAAAATTACATTTTTCTCTAAATATGTATCCCACTCACAGAAAACCCGTTTAAAAAAATTAATATATAGAGTTATTATACAGATAACTGTAGAACACCCTTTTTTGAACACACTCATTTTGGGAGTTTCAAAAATTAAAACAGTCATTTTCAATTTAACCGTAATAGTTTTGTCGCATTACTTCTACAGACGCTAGGAGGTCTTAAGGTCAAACGTTATATACTGAGAATCGTCAATGTTAATATAATTTAATTATTATTTTTAATTTTTTTTTTATGGATTATTTAATGGTAATAATATATGGTGTTGGAGTAGGTATATTCAGACAGTAGTATACAAGCGACTTGTTTATAAGGTAATAATTATATTAGCAGATTTATGAATAAATTATAGTATTTAATTTAGTATATGTTGAAAAATGAGTCATTTCTGTAAAAGATTAATAGGTTTTTTCTCCAACTTTCTAAAACGATATTCAATTTACTCGTATCTTTGGAATTGTACCTAGACAAGTAGAACAATTATAACATGATGCAATATTATGTGTATTGTTGAAATTATACATAGTAAGCATATTATTATGACCAATTTGTATGCATATGATTCAAGGGTATAAAACAAGACTATTGATTTATACTTGTACAAGTAAAGATTAACAGACATTGTGTTAAATTATACACAAAAACCTTATTGTTATTACGATTATTATTTTTAAACATATTAAATATAATAAAGGCCTATTGCTACAATAACAGTAATTCTCCATTTCTCCCTGGCTATTGATATCTCTTTTACATCACTTCAATCATGTGTTCCTTTATTCCATTCGACCACTGATGTCAAGATTGTTCTTTGGGTCATTTTGATCTCGATTTCCATCTTGTAATGTCCCCCATATTTTTCAATATGTTCATTTAAGTAAAAACAAAACATAATATATCAGCAGTCTTGTAAAACTGTATGAACAATGGGACATATTTTTAATTTTTTCAAGAAAGAATGCAAGATCCAAAGATTATAACAGTCTCATAATTCAGGATTTTCTTGGAAGGTATTGAAAATCTGCGTTTTCTCTTTGCAAAGTTTTACAAAATTCCTACTATATACATAATTTGTGCACATGGTAGTGGTCTTGTTTAGTTTTACAAAGAAATACGAATTACAAAATGCATCCGATTTTTAGAATTATAAAATAAAATAGTATTGTTTTCGGTGTTTGTGAAACACTATACTATTATTTAGAGCTTTTATACCTATGCAGGTTTTTTTTAATAATATTTTTATCTCTTAATTTGTTTTTAAATATTCAATATTTTAAAGGTTCCAAACCGCGTACCGAATAGATAACTGGTATTTATAGGTACCTATAATATTAAAATAACGTTGTATGCTAATCACGTGGACAGTTGAATATTAACGTTTCATGCGGTAATACGATGAATATACCGGAAACGAATACTGCAGCCGACATACCTTACGACGACACGACACGGAGGGTTATAAAATTGTATACTAACCAAATATTTTAATGTCACATGTTTCAAAACTCAAGGTCTTGGGATTTATTTGATTTTCAAAGATCGAATATTGAAATCACGGTAACTGTAACAATGATGGATTACAAATTCGAAATACAAATGACAAGGTACCTTTTGGAAATTGTAGATTTGTTGTACATACAATTATTATGAATCGGATTTAAATATCCTAAAAACTATTTTCAATTAGACGGACATACTTCGCACGATGGGTGGGCGACTGCTGTAGATGAGAAGTTGGAAAAGTAGGATATAGAAGTGAATTTGCTAACGAAAAACGATTCTGAGCTGAGTTCGGTTATACATCTTTTAAAAAACCGCAATATTTACTATTTTCCTATAAAATCCCTATAAAAAAAAAAATACTATACATTAAACTCAACTTTTTCTTGTCGACCATTAGTATAACTTACAATGAACTTCCTGTTAAATTTTTAAGCATATCTGGTTGATCTAACAATTTTATCCACAGAATACTTACCGAATAAATATTACGTTAAAAACTATAAAAATTAAAATTTATATAAATAGCTCATATATTTTGAACATTTTGCCACGTCTACATAAGGTTTCTGTCCAAATTTAAAGTTTCTACGAACATTTTGAACTGAATTACAGAAAAAAAAATATAAAATAAAAAAAGCATTATTTTCATAAATGTACCCATTTTCCTAAGTTTTCCTGATTTTTCCATTTATTATGAAAACTACGGGGAAAATCAAAAAGTTACCTCCTTAGAGTATAGGTCAAATTTCCTTTCAGAAAAAGTGTTATATTTGAAAATCATAATAAAAATTTAGAATGTTTGTACAAAGTATATAAAAAAATAAAATAAACATCATTGAAAAATCAATACTTTCCTCAATTCGCTCAGAATCTCAAAATGAATTTCAAAAAAATGCTCATCAACCGCTTAATGCCCGTAAAATACGACCCATATTCTATGGAAAAACTATGAAAAAATTTCACTCTTGAAGTATCCGTCATGCCCGAATCCAATCACGTACACTTAGGACGCATTGTCCTAGAGCAGTAGAAAAAAATGCACTTTGCATTGAAATCCGAACCACACATAGGTACCTCTCTAATACCTATAGAATTGGCTGCACATTTTTTTTTTTGTTTTGTGTTTCACTATGCATAAATTCGTACTGCACTATTATAATAGTGTTATTCTACTATATTATTATATAGTGACTCGAATATAGTATAGGTATCTGCCTGACAGATTCAAGAAGGGAAACAAATATCATTATATTAAAAATGTAGGTATACTATTATGAATGCCAATATATTATGTTACCTGGCAAAAAATAACGGTCGCGTGTCTCTCTGAATATTATCCGATATCGATATATATAATTTTGTTTTCAATAGTGTTGCACGGTAATCATATTATTATTATTATACGTATACAATATACAAAATCGAATACAATATAACCTTCTGGTGGTCGTTGAACTAAACCCATAGTCGCGCGTGCGCGTATAGGCCTTGCAGTGTTTGGGTGAACGGTGAACCTAGGTTAATTATTATTAAATATTATAAGGATATAATACCTATTTTGTCGTCTAACTGGGAAATTCTCTAAGCTACAGTGTATATTATTCTTCAACGCACTTGACAATGTACCTCATTAAGTGGGCATTACAACCGCGTGTGCCTCCGTGTGTTACTAACGTACGACTTGGCAAATTTACGTGCAGTAGGTTTACCTGTAATTTTACGCCGTTATAAGTTAATATTGAATTGAATCGACCTAATGTCAAACATAACAACATTCTTTGTAATCTTTTTCGGTTGATATTTTAATATTTAAGCGAGATATATACATTTTTTAATCGTGCTATTTCGCATTCTCATACGTATAATTCGCTTAAAAATGTAAACGTAAATACCGAGAAAAAACCGACGTAGTTGCACAGTTAATGTTAAATTGTATTATAGATCGATTCACTATAATATTAAAATTAACAACAAAAAGTTGTTCTTGCTAAACGAAATTTTAATATGTCGAGAGTTTGTTAAGATGGCAACAGCACGGGCGAACGTGACGTCCTCATGTAATGGAAATTTCCCAATAATGCGGTATTTAGTGTGCAGCTCTTTTTCAAAATACCGTACATTCAACAAAAAAGGGAAAACAGAACTAAACATAATCAAACACAATCATAGTCCCAAACGAATTAATCTTATTCCGAAAACGGTAAAAATGAAAATTAGGTTATGTTAAGTGAAACGTGAAACAGTTGAAAATGATAATTTTTTAACGCCCATGTTATAATAAATAAAGTACTAAATGCATTTATTACACTCATTTGTATTTATAGCAATTATAATTTATTTTAATATAGATATATTGAAAAATAAAAATGCTTACTTCACATTTTTTATTCAGTATTATTCATCGTTTAAATATTTACTAACCACCAATGTTGGAAGGAAGTATTTTTACCTTGAACCATCGATTTAATTTTCTACTCATCCTACCATACATTTTCGAAGTCTAAAATTCTTTAAATTACTTGCTTTGTAAAAACTTAATAATTTTTGTTATATTTCTGAACACTCAGCCACCCTTTTCTTTTTGTGAATCACGTGATTCAAATATTTCTCCTTCGTGCTACCACTGCTAACCGTAAAAAAAAAAAATAAAGAATTGTTAGAAATATTCCAGCGAACCTTCACTTGTAGGACGCAAGTATAATTTAAATAGACTGCAGTATTTCAATTTTCTCTAGAACTCAATATAATGCACTCGACGGCCAAACGGAACTTGGTTTAACTAAAACTATCAAAATGAGACAAGATATTATTTCACTATAAATTCGAAAATCTTTTGTATTTCCTTATACTGTACTTATCAGTGTGCAATTTTGCTAACCCAAGCTTGTTGAGATAGTTTTCTAGATGATAATTGATGAAAATTTCGGTTAATTTGTTAATAATATGAATCTACGGGCAAGAAACGATTTTTTTCCTTGCGGGCTTTGTGATTACTAGATGAAATAATTTTGTATTTATTTTATTTTAAATACGGGCCGCGGCTAAATAATATTATTAATTTTATATATTTAATTTTATTATTACGTTATAATCTCTGACGGCGAGGTAGCGGATATGACGGAGGTTGATTTTTTTTCATTCATAAATCTTCTCACTTAAAACTACAATATTGAACATTGTTTGTTTTTTTTTTTTTGTTATTCTCCGGTCACGTATGAGCCACGGGCACTTGCACTCTAACACGCACTTGTACACGACAACACAATCATTTTACCGTGAAAGAAGTGCATCGGTCAATCTTCTTATGAACGCACGCACATTGTCACATAAAACACACGTACCTCCGTGTAGCAATGCGCATGTCATGTTAGCGACACGTGTGTGTTGTGTAAAAAAAAAGTTCCTTGTATGCGTGTGTAAAACTACTCGATATTAATAAAGGATTATATGTATACATACATTTTTCCTCCTTTTTCTTTTGAAGTTGTATAATTACAACCGTTATATTATGGTGTACAGTGACTATGCAAATTATGATCAAAAACCGTAATATTGCCGGTAAACTGTCAAACAATAATTATTAATCCAAACGCACTTGATGGAGAATTATTCAATTTGTCTCTGTATATAGGAGATATTGGACCGTTTGAAAAAAAATCCCCAACCCTAAACAAATAATTTATTCTGCATAAATGAATATATTATTATAAGTATAAAACTTGTATTTTATCACTTCTTGAACTCGAATTTCAGGTTGCATGAAAACAGTTCTCGAAATTATTAGTTTAATAATCGGTTCTGTAAAATTACCGTTATTGAACAGATTGCATTTTACGAAAATATCTATTGAATTGTTTAAATGGAAATGCTCTATCCATGTATGGTAACACACATTAATTAATAATTTTATCCATATCAAATATTACAATGTTAATATAATAATTTTATTTGTAATAAAAATGAAATTTTAATTTTAATAAGTCATAAATTGTTTAACGTTTGAACAAAGAGTAAATAATAAAGTTTATTTTTATTTTTAAAATCTAAATCATTAGTCTTCAAAAGAATATAATTTATCTCTAAACCACTTAAGTAGATTAATCAAAACGTTAAAAAATCATTATAATATCTTTAACAGGCCCATATGAAGAGATACGGGTGAAAAAACTGACAATTTTTGTTTTTTAGTTTTTATGTAACAACATATGAAACAACATAAAATAACGACTCATTAACAAGAAAATTAAATTACGTTTTATGTGATAGGACAACTATAATTAAATAATAAAGAAACTAATTATAACATATTCCGTGGTTAAACTAGCTCTGCAAATTGTACAAAACTGATAACCAGTAATCGGTTCTGAAAAGTTGTATGTAATTCAGCATTAATATGAATCGTTAAAAACTAATTTTTGCTAGGTATTTCTGTATATATGTGCATTCTTCAGGTACGGCGGTATTGAATCACTCGTTTAAGACTGAGCAACAAAATTCATCGTATCATTTTCGTCATTTTGCACGTGCTAAATGCTAAACGAACGGTTTTTTGAAGGGTCTCGAAAATTATAATAGGTACTATATTTTTTCTCGTATTAAAACCAAAACAGATATTTTAGAACATTTAAGATCGTTAGTTAATTAACATGATGTAACGTGATATAACACAAGCGTTGCAGAAAAAAAACGGACCGTTATAGTTTATTAGAATTATTTGAAATTCGTTCTACGGAAGACTATATTATAATATACGTATTATTATATTAACTGACTGATTTCTTATTTAATGGCACGTTATATATATTACTTTAAATAATTAAAATTGTATACTATCGTACAACTATCTACATTTCTATTCATTACCCCTATACTTAAGCCCAATTAAAATAATATAACTTAGTAACAATTACTATAGGATCTATAACGATTCGTATATAATTAGGTATTATAAAATTTTATATTACCTATCTATTAGCTCGGGCCACTATTTTAATCTATTCCGTTTTATCCACGATTGAAACTCACATAAATGTTCCGTTAAAATCATTGTAATGTATTATTATAACATAAAAAGAAGGCGATCACGTATAGGTATAATTTACTTTTTATTTGACTTGTTAGTTGCCCGTGAGACTATCGTTGCGATATTTTTCAAATAAGTTACCTATACTTATTTAATTAGAACACAAAATATTTTGAATGCGTCACTCTCCAAAACTAACTGAGCAGGTATTTTACGCGGTATACTTGCACACGCCGAAACCTGCCTACAACAGTGGAAAATAATTAATCTCTCGTCCTGCAGCCTAAAATCGCTTCGAGGGGTTTAGTTTAGTTACGGTTAAAATCGTGAGTCACCGTGTGGCTATGTAGCGATCCTTACAATCGTGAGTCACCTTTAAACAGACCCGCGACCCTTGAAACTGTGGATAGTAACATAAATATTATATATACTCGTACAAATAGCGGCAATGTAATATTTTAAGGTGGCTTCGTTTCTTAAATTTTCTGAAAAATGTTAATACTTTCCTAGATGACGAGTGCCTTATGTTGTGTTAATCATCCTGAATAGATGCAGCAAATAGGTTATTCATAAAACGCAAAACTAAAACAATTATCAAATAGAGGAGAGTAATTATCTAATAGATACGATGTGTTTGAAATATATTAACACGTTGATAATATTACCTATATATTGGTCTGTCCGGATCTTGAATTTTTAAAAAAAATGGACAATTACAGAATTAAGTTAAATCTTATTGTAACACCTTAATATTATATTACACACAATATAAAAAATATTTTTCTTTTCTCAAAACAGACGACTATAATACATAAAATACATTTTTTTTTCAGACACTGCAATACAGCACTATACTACTCGATTAAAAAAATATTTACATTTTTTAATACGTGACTACTTTTTTATATTCTATAGGATAATATTAATTTTAATATATATCGACAAACTAATCGCATATACTATAGTTAGTCAATATGATTTCCTTATATTAAAGAAATGAATTTATTTGATCGTGTATTTTCGTTGAAATTCGCCGCAATCCGGACGCATTTTACAAATTTGGACGTCGTCCAGTCCACGAAAAGATTTGCGACAAATCATACATATTTTAATTTAAATAATATACAAGACAATTTAACGAGTGTGACACAGAAACCCGTTTGATTATTACTAACAGTATTACGACGTTTTAATATAATATTTTTACTTTCCATACAATATTATTATTATGTGCATGACAATCAACGAAACAACATTGTGTTCTACTCATTAATGAGTAAATTACAATGTTAGCATAGTCGATATGACGCAAACATATTAATTGATTAGATTATTTCATTAATTAAAAACGTAGATATAATACACTATACTATGATAAAATAAACAAATAATAATTAACTACATAAATTACGAATTGTACCTATACAAATTTTGAGTGTCTATTAGACGGTTTCTACGAATTAAAAGCGATTAATTAAACAGACTTTTGTACACAGCATATAAAATCATAATTAAGCTTGTCCACACGTAACTGAAAATTATCCACCTAACGCGGTCGAGTTTAATATTAAAAAGTCTAATAATAATAAAAAAATACAGACAAAATTCGGACTTGGGAGCAGCCACTGTTGTAGATGGGAAGTTAGGAAGGTAGTATACAGAAGAGAATTTAGTGTACATCTGTAAGTAACGATAAACTATTGCTAATGAAAAAACATTCTGAGCGGAGTTCAGTTGATAGTGATGCATTGTCAACAATATATAGGTCATATTATGGTAAAATAATTAAATAGGCATTAAATATTTTCTTCAATAATAAATGTTTAATATTATACCGATTTTTCCATTTTTCCTAAATCAATTCCGGTTTTTCACATTTGTTGAGAAAACTCCTGTAAAAATCAAAAAAGACCTCCCTTAGAGTAACTTCCCAGTCAGATTTCCTTTCAGAAAAAATGTTTTGATTGTAAATCGGAGCAAAATTTCTGGTAGAAAAGTTGTTCATAAATAAAAAGAAGGTCGTAATATTTTTAAACTAATACCTACATTTCGCACACTTTTCAGATTTTCCTCGGTTTTGTCGATTTTTCACATTTGTTGAGAAAATTCCTGAGAAAATCGACCTCTTAAAATACCTACCTCCCTAGTAATTTTTATTTCTTTTTTTATTTTTATTTAGAAAATCATCGGAGTAAGCTTACTAGTAAAAAGTGTTACATAAAAAAAAAAGTACATCTTTTTAAAACCAATAAATTCTTAGCTATACTCAGAATTAAAAACAATTGTTTTATTATTTATTTATGAATTATAAAATTTATAAAATCACGTGAATTTGAATTTTAAAAGTGTTTAAATATAGTTTAAAAAAAAATGTCCTCAATTCCCATTCTTATAATGTATATATTGCAAAATGTTTTCGGAACTTTTTTCAAAATAAAAATCCGACTCTCCTATAACAATTTCTATTTCGGTTTTTTTGTCAAGCTTTTACATTAACGTTTTAATTCCCATTAACCGTAACGAAAAGTTATCCACCATTACAAATTAAGGCCAATTCACACCACTGATTTTGACACGCGTTATTCGTATCAATATTTAACAGACGTTTTGGTTTTAATGTGTGATGGACGCGCAATATTTCGGAGACCCGTATAATGACATTCTTTTAACAGGACGGATCTGATAAATTGTATTAAATTAAATCTTTTATATTATAAACCTACATATATATGTACATATGTACACACGATTACGCCCGCGCATGAACGAATCATATACAGGGTGTATTAGTTTACCACGAAACAGCGATTATCTACGAAAATTTTAGTTATTTTTTTTCAAACATATACAAAATCGTTTCATCGTTTTCAATAATTCACCTTAATTCAGTATATCACCATCATAAACGCATCATTACATCATTATAATTTCACTATAATATCTGTTGATTTTCAAATAGCAATCCCTTATACACATATTTTTTTTTTTTGTAAATTACGATTCGAAGAGAGAATATTTTAGATTAAAACGATAAAAAACTGATTTATATCGAAGACGAATATGAATAATAGTATACGAAAGGATTTCATAAACATGATATTTTTGAATTTAAAAAAATACTAATATACCGATTGAATATATGAAGGTTTATATTTTGAAAATAAACTCGTTAAACGATTCTATAGCGCATGACTGGAAAAAAAAATTTACCAAAAATGTTACTATACTAACATTTTTAGTAATGATCGCTGAAGGTTTATCATAAAAGAATCACCCTGTATTTGTGTAAAATATATACGTACATAATCCCTTTTGTTAGTTATTCGGGTGCAGGGACAAACCAGGTCGAAACCGACGAACACATATTTATATTGAATACTGTTGCGCAGTATTATTCTAAGAAAATAACGATATAGGAAGATAAAAGAAGATATTCGAATAGGAGTACTACTATTCAAATATTTATACGACCCGTGAGAAATCATTCCTCAATACAATTTACTACTTACATGTATATCTAGCTGTATCTTTTATCCGTATTATTATACACCTGTAATATAATTCAACCTATCGATAATAATGTATTACTTGTAAAAATAAATCTAATTTCTATCAATTTTTTATTAAATATCAGAGCTAATACTGCTGATGGGTGTACAATTGTTGTAAAGTTGAGAAGTTGCAAAGATATATGATATAATAAGTAATTTAATGAAAAATTATTTTGAGCCGATTTCGATTACATATTTTAAGAAATCTTGTGATTTTAACAATTTTAAACTCTCTCGACTTTTTATTAGACCAAGATTTCTGGTGAAAAATGTATGAATAATGAATATACATAAAAAAAAAAAAAACAACCCTAAACAAAGCAACTCAAAATGCACTTAAAATTCTAAGACTCAATTTTTTAACAAATACAGATAAATATTTTAAAAAGATTTTTTTTCAATGAATAAATAAAAAAAAAAACGGACATACTTTGTATGATGGGTGGAACACTGTTTTATGAGAAAATTGGAAAGGCAAAGGGGAAATACAATGTATATCTGTATGCAACGATTAATCATTGCTTACGAAAAACGATTATAAGCGGAGTTTGATTATAGTTTGATAATTGATTATGATTGGTTATAGTATTTACTATAAAACGCATTAAAAAAAAAAGAAAAGAATACCTTAAACATAGAGGTGGGGGATTGAAAATGTAAAAAAAAAATTCTAAACTGTGATCATTATTATTTATTACATAAAATTCAAACTTTGACTAAAAATCTATAGAGACTATAGGTACGTATTTGCGTCATTATAAACTTAAAAAAAATAAAATGAATTTTTAATATAAATTCTCAATGACGACAAATTAAATAAAAACAAACAAAACTCAATGGGAAAAAACGAGACCGACCGTCCTTGATTAATACTATGTATTTAAGAAATTCATTTTATATTCTGATTCATTGAATTGATTTGATCAATTTTGGCAACGGAGTAACGTATAAGCTAAAAAAAAAAAAGCATTTTCACTACAAATTCGCGATGATTATGAATTACAAAGTTTAAAGAAAAACGTATTAATAAACAAATCCGGCCGTCCTTGATTAATATATTTTTTTCAATGTTTTTAAATTCGTTCCGTTAAGGAAATTTGTATAAAATAATTAAGAATGAATATCTGAATAATTTTGGAAACGTACTCACTCATTTATATTCAATAAACACGTATACATAATGATAAATTATTACCCAAATATTGTTAACTTACGCAATTGAGAAATATTTTATATGGTATATAGCGTATATAGGTGCAGTTGAGTGGGCATTAAAATACAATTTTTATAAATATTTGATTATTAACGTTGACGTCTGCGAATTATGCTAAAAATACTTTTGAAGACTGACGGGCGAAATATTATACGAGTATACTTCAAGTGATACATTTTCAGTGTTAGGATACTTAATTCGATTAGTTTTTAAATATTTAATACTAACACAATTTTTAATATGAAATCTAAAATAACTTATTTATATTTTCGTATAATATTAATTTGTATAATGTCTACACGGTAAGTTGTGAATTGCTTAAGACACTTATGTTTATACCGATATTATTGTATTACATATAGGTATTAATATTTGTATACCTAGGTACCTAATCTATAGGTATTACTAATTAAAAAATAATTTATGAAGTAATAATGTGCTAAAAGTATTTTAATAGGTACCAAATAAAAATAATAATAATAATGGCTAAATCGATTTTATCGATATTCTCTGTATAGGTCAGTCAAAGTAGAATACGGATTTGATAAAAAAAAATAAAAAAATAAATTCTTACACATTACAGGAAAATATTAAATCTACATAATAGATAAACTGTATAATAGTCATAAAGTGTTAATACCATTAATTTTATTGTCCGTATAGTTAATTATTTGAAATTCAACATTCTAAAAATACCTTTAGTTATATCATTAATATAGAATTAGAGATGTTTTATAGGCAGATCGGAGTAATAAAAGATGGATTGGATTTCAATATGTCGTTGCGGAAGGAAAGTGTTTTTCAGTTTTTAATATGAGAGATGGTATTTTGCGCTAAATTTATTACTTGTAATTTTCGCCATCAATAGGCACATTCAAGTGCGTATGTAAATATAACAAGTATTTTGCGCCACATCTAAAAATTAATTTTGGTGATTTGTACCAAGACAGAAAATGAATTTGCAATGTAATTTGCGCCACACTTTCAACTTCAATTGTTAGAATTTACCAGCTGATAATAATTTACTGATATTGCATCGATCTAATATAATATTGTTGTATTCTATTAATAATAAGCAGAGACAAAATCGATTACGTCTATCTAATCTAAGTCTAATCTAATATGAATTATACATAAAGTCGTATACTTATATACATTTAATTATAATTATAATATTACTGATATTTTTGTTTCATTACTAAACGAAATTGTATTACCTATTTATTAAACAAAAAGTACTAACTATTAAAATGAACTAGATTGATCAATGATTAAAAATACAATATGTTAATCTGTTAAAAAAATATTGTTTAGTTATTTTGAAGAGGCACAAATTACAATTTTAATAAGATGAACAATGGTGCAAATTACAATTTTTGTAGGTACAAGATGGCAAAGATTACATAATGCTCTTTCATTTAGTTTTATGTGGCGTAATATACAACCTTAAAAAGTGGTGCAAATTTCCAAAATTAATTGTTAGATATAGCGCAAATTACTTACATAGATTTTTTCAGGGTTGTTTTTGGCGCGAATTGCACACGCCCTTTAATATCCATGCAGACATTCTAAATTGAGTCGGGGCTGGTAAAATTTTGTATACGTATGTTGTTAGTATTAATGATGTGCCTTCTGGAAGTTTCAATTTTTAACCCCCGCACCTTACCATTTGTATGTTTAATTTCACAATTTTTTGAGAAGTAGAAGGTAGGTTGTACGTAGTATTAATATAGTATGACATTATTTTATTATAAGATTCGGTTATTTATTTCTAACGAAGAATATTTCTATTGAATACAAAATCAGTGTGGGAAAATTCGACTCTCGTAACGGAGCTCACGGGTGTACATAAGAAATTGCCAAGTCGTGCAAATAATACACCATATAGGAACAAAATTTGAATGCAAATTAAACAGTATAAATAAAAACAAACGATATTCATAATATAAACCTAACCAAGTACTTAAATACAACAGTAGTTTTTTATTCATTTATACACACGATTTTATATGCATAAAAAAAGTGTTAATCGATTTATTTGATAATTATATCAGAGTGAATCGCGTAGGTAGGTCTATATTACTTTTTTTTTTATGTCACATTTTAATAACGAGCTCTTTTTTTATGATACACGTAATGTGTATAAAAGATTATAATATCGCAAAACGTACAGGCTTTATTCGAACGTGGGAACTTGGATTATTTTAGTATTGTATAAGAATGGTTTATTTTCGACAATCGGGGTTCACACACGAACAAAATTATAAAACATTTTGTCTTTGTCAATTTGTATGCAATTTTCAACATCCCACTTTTGTACATACAGTAGGGATATAATAATTCCTTATTGTGTCTGTTGGCAAAAAACTTTTAGTATACTATATTATTTATGCTGATGAAATGTTTGTTTTTAAAGGTTATTTGGATAAAATTATTGAAATAATATTATTATATTATATTTACACACTTCATTGAGTTTCAAGATATTAAATATTATTATAATCTATAACGTCATTATACGTATAGGTGTAGGTATAGTATAATATTGTATAAGTATATATAGTGATGATTGAATTATTTGAATTGTATGTATTATACATGGTATAATTACCGAGAATAAAAAATCCGTGACTAATTATATAATATATCAAATACGTCAGTCTTTGAAGAAAAAAAAAACCTATTATAAATATTATGAAATCTTTTTTTATGTACCTACCATATTAATTAAGTGGGTACCTATAGCCTATATATTATAGTATATTATTTAACCGGGATACTTACAGGTACACTGTATATAATTAATAAAATATAATGTAAGTATAATATACATTTTAAAACCAACTTTGTAAAGATAAAATTATTTAAATTGTATAAAATTAACGACAATTACCGCGCGCGGATCATTATTTTTATTATTCGTAGTAATTAGTGTACTTATACCTATAATATTATAATAATTGGTACCGATATTTCACAGTAATTTTTCATGAGTCACGAGAAAGAATCAACATGTATGCATTATAAAATCAATTAGGTTTTTCAAATGTTGCATTGGTTCTGTTTTTATATAATTATTATCAGGTACAAAGATTGTTTCTACATTAATATTGAAGTTTTGAGTAGAATTTGAACAAGTACATACATATTTGAATGGGAAAATGTAATACGTATTTAAAAAAAAAATTTTTATTTAAAAACAAAAATAAAAAGATGGGTACTTTTAATTCGGCTATTTTGTTTCGATAATTACAAATCAATAGATTGAACTCATAATTTCTCGAGGAGAAAATGTATTTTTTGTGGTTCTAGGTACATGATTATTTGAAATAACTAATACTTTCCTAAAAATGTACATTAAATGGGTAACAAAATTAAACTTTACTATAAAAAAAAAAAAAATAAATAAGTATGTAATAAGTATATTTTATGTACCTTTATATATTGTATTATATTATTATGTATGTATTTTTTATCATGAAATATCCAGATACGTAGATATAGGTTATTTATAAGAGACGGTGAGGAACAAAATTATTAGTAATTAGAGTGAATTGGAAGTTAAAAAAAGAATATTGAATTGAAATAAGGGAGGGGAAGGGGTAAATCCTCTTATAAATGTCAGTAATGAGTGTTTGCGGCGAAGAATTCAGTAAACAATTAATTTTCTTTTTAAGAATTTTGTGTTTTTGTCGTATAGATTTTGTTAGGCTAGACACTTTCTTGTCTTTAATATTGATCTCGAGTCTATAGAGTTATTTACAAAATGTTTAGAATTTTCGTACTGATGAACTCATATATGACTTACTATATAAAACTTATTAAAGGGTTAGCACTCAACACGTGCAAATAACCCGCAGTAAGTATTTATCTTGTATGTTAAATCTAACTTTCATTATCATTTCCAAATTCATTTCTTTAGCCGAAATTTGAATTTGTTTTCAATCGAATAAAATCGAAGTTTTGTGATCAATTTAATATAAAATAATATAATCCGTACCTATATTTCTAACAATTTAAATTCGAATAAAAAAAAAAAAAAAATGCACTATTAGTAATAGTCGTTAATTTTTCCTGAAATTATGTTAAAGACGACTACTCACGTGATCTGTGTGTAATTAAATATAAGTAATTTATTATATTAGTGCCACGGTACTTAAACTCTATTTTAATGAATTTATGCAAAATTACACGCCGAAAGCAATTAATTTAATACAACTGACCTTCGTAAAATTGTAATTGACATAATAATAATATATTGTATATAATTATTGATTTCATTAATGATTAGGTATTATTCGTATAATGTAATAACTTAACAGATAAATACGTAAATAAGTTTTGAAAAAAATCGTCTTGCATATAATTTGAACGATTTTTTTCTTTATAAAGATTAGTATAGACCTTTAGTCAAACAAAAATACTGTTTAGTTTTTACAGACTATCCAAATATTATAGGTAACAGGGCTATCGTGATTTTTAAAAATAAACAGATTATTATTATAACAATATATTATACAATCGTAAAAAATCGTAACGATTGTACTTTAATGGAACGTTACAGTATCATTTCCGTAATGTGTATTTTTAACGGGCAATATAGCAAAAATGCATTTCCGAAGTATCAACGGTATTAAATTTAGAGTAGCTCTTATAGATTTAAAACAAACATGATTTCACGGAATTTAACTCTACAACATTTACTATAGTATGTTTTCACGTGGGGATTTTTTTGATAATCAATTCTCGGACAAACTTATCCATACTTAATACTTTTGAAAATATTTGAAATATATAGAAAATGTGCTGACAGGCTTTAATTTGGAAAAACGAGTTTTATACGAAGTCTGTATTAGAGCCCGAATAAGTAATGTTAAAAATACCAAAAAACAAATTTTTCCTATTGGTATTATCCGTTAGAGAGTACAGCGATCGCAAACGCTACCATAAAGTCCTCTTAAACATAAACTTTTTAAGTACCTACATAATATTACCTCGTAAATCGATAATAACAATCTTACAGTGAATACCTAACTATAGCGTACTGTATTAGATTATTGGGCGGACATACTGACGTATTAATATTTCAATACTCGGAATGTTCCTTGTTTTATATTATAATTGTAACATATAATAATAATAAGTAATAACAGTGAACTGCGCCGAAAAGGGTTGAAGGCATTGTTAGTTTTATCGGACGAAACAGATTATACAAGATGATTCACCGAAAAATGATTTACGTCAATCGGTCGACCTTTTAAATCGTAACCCTAATGCGTACACTGTATTTATTGTTATAATATGACGTATCTCGTCTGTTTGTTTTCTTTTTTTTTAGATTTTGAATGAAGTAAGGAATGTACTTATTTGTTTTTTTTTAATAGGTTATTGTTTTGATTGGGTCAGTCAGCATCATAACGATTATGTAAAACGCAAAACGATTATACGGATTAACTCTACATTGTAAACAGTTTTAAATTGAAATTAACATGAAATGTATAGCAACACACGTCAGTAACAATATATGTGTAAAGTTACTGCTTACTGTAAATTACGTAAATTACTAATGTATACTGTTTGAAAGGTTTAAATTTATTCATCTATTTGGTTTATAAAATTAACAGAAAGTTGCAATTAAAATTTACCAATCCATATGATTTGCATGAATTGTACAGTAGGATTTTTTTATGAAAGATCTTACAGGTAATGTCGAACCTTCATGGGTGTACAAAAACAAAATAAAACGGAAGAAAAAAATATAAATCTATCTGAGCACTTGGGAGATTCGAATTTGAATTAACTTATATCTTTCTGTTTATTACTTACCAATAAGATATATTTTTATTATTTATTATTATAATTTGTGAATTTGATTCCTTGTCATTTAAATAGAAGTTCCAATATTAGTAATTTTCTAGAATGTAACAAATTCTTAATTCGTACCTAAATATAATATATTATTTATACAATAGCCTTAAGTAAATTTATAATAATGAACAAATAATCGTTGAAGTCATTTAAGTAGCAACAACCGATAGTTGAACCGAAATCAGAAATATGGTTTTTATGAAACTTAGTGAACTTTGGAGTTTGAAACGGCCACTGAGAATTTGCTACAATTTAAAAATATTGATTCAGGTTCTTTCAAAAAAAAAAAACCCCCCAGAAGGTGTAAAAATGATTCTGATACAGTGAAATATCATAAATAGCTCCAAAATGTATGCGCACCGATCGAATACTGATATCGACAACTTAATTATTAAAATACCTCTATAATATATCTACAGGAAAAAATAATTTTTTAACTAACAAATATGATTTTGGAGAACAAGAGACGATGACATCTGTGGGGTAATGATAACAAAAGACATGATACCTATTATAATTTCAGAAAAATCCCGAATAATGCAACGAATCATGAAATAGAAACCTATAAAAAAAATAACTTGGATAGGTTTTATTTTTAAATATTTCAGATAAATTACAAAAAGAACACTGCAAGCTAAAATGCGTTCTTAAATGCATTATATAACAAGAAGTAAAAAATAAAGACCATTTATGAATTTATCATAAATATAATATGTGTTTGATAGATTTGGAGTTTACAAAAGATTTATTAAAATACTGGTATTATGTACTTTATTTGTAGAAAAATGTGAATTTAAATTCATTTAAGTGCAGGCTGTGTTCAAAATACTTCAAATAATTTTTACACTTTTTACAAGTAGTAATATAGGTAAATAAATATAGGAATTTATTCACATATTTCAAACGTTAGATAAAATTATTCAGTTTAATTTCAAACAGTTTCCATTAATTTTCCAATTGAGTATTATATTCGGGTTTTATAGTAAATGATAATCGTCTGGTGCCCTCAACACGACACTGTCCGATGATTAATGCGAAAACGCATAAATTAAATAAACGAGCGATGCGTGTGACGTCTATGGAAATAATCATTCTGGTTTCCCCCCCTTCCACTAAACATTAAAAACCTATATTATATACTATTATAATAATATTATACTATACTGATTGCACACTCGGGGTTAGTGGGTTAAGACCTATAACTATATAGTATCTAATATGATAAAAGATTAGGAAAAAAAAAAATTATTATTAATAGCAGTAAAAACCGTACAAATTTACACAGTTTATTGCAGGTTTTTTGTGAATTCGATAGGTATCTATCATGCCAAAATCCAAACGAAAGTCGAATATTAAAGTAATTAAAACATTAATTAAAATATATTAAAATAATAGCCCAGTAAATTATTTAAAAATATTTTCTTCGCGTATAATGCGGACATTGCATTTATAAAAAAAAAATTCGCAAAAAAATAATAACTGGGAACAATAATCAATTTCGATTATAATATATCCTGAGATTATAAGTTATACCTGAGTTATGTGGAAATCTTGGTATCGAAGTATCATACACAAAACTATGTTACTTAACGTATGAAATAAAATGTAACTTCAATATTGCTATACGAGACCAAATACTGGTGCTATCGATATGTTTGTTCTGGGTTTCGTCGTCTATACTATCTTATATTATTATAGGTATACTTATTATCATTTATCATTTATAACCAATTCAAGGTCAAAAATGTATAATAATTCCTTATACTACTGCGACTCTATGTAGATAATTGAATAATCTACATAATATGTAAGTATAGGTGCCTTTATAATATCGTCAATTTCAAGAATATATTTCGTTTAGTTGAATAATTCAATCCTATTTAAAATAAGGTATACGACATTATTCTCAGAGATATTTTAATAATAATTTTTACAATATCATGGCAAACACAAACTTAATTTATACAAACTTAAGCCCGGTTCACGCCATCACAAATTTAAGTAGGTATATTTTCAAATATTTTAAAGTATATCTATATGTCTAACTTAAAATATTCCTAAAACAGTTTTTTTTTTAAATATTCAACAGATTTATTAACGAATTTCGTTATTGGCGGATTAATTTAACCGATCGGAGGCAGCGAGTTATAAAACATGTGGAATGCTGGTATTATTTTAATAGGGTCTGAACAATAGTTTAGGTTAGTAATGAACTCTCTTTATGTTCATTGAGTAGGAGTCATTTACTGTCTAAACTGTAGGTAAATATTCTGGGTATCAATTCAGCAATTACACATAAGTAATATTAAGTAAGTATATTTACCGACCGAAAATTTGGGTAAATATTTGTTATAGTTATAAGTCAAACAGTTGTCTAATCATGGATAGAGAGAAAAATCGAATAATGGAAACATCAACACCGAGAAGGTGATAAAGGAGTAAACGTTTTCTAATAACATTTGTTGTTGTGTATTACATTAGTAATAAATTTACCCAATTTACTGTGTAAATCTTTACACTCTGTAGCCTGAACCATTTTCAAAAAAATTTGTACCAAATTTAACATTCGTAAAATATTTGACCTTGTATGCTGAGCTTTTAAAGGTTATACACTGCCGAAAATAAAATAACATAATTTCTTAATACAAGGGGAGGGGGTGTACTTTTCAAAGCTATATGGGAATTATTTCCAGTAATTTTAAATTTACATGCATCTCCAAACCATAATATTCCTATATATTATAGGTACCATACAAAGCGTTACGCAATATATAAAAATCAATAATGAATATCACGTAACAATACGAAAGCAAAAAAAAAAACAACTAAGTAAATAAATAAATAATTATAACTCGTATATTATTACAGCTTCTATGGCTACCGAAATAATAAAAAACTATACAAAGCCCCAGGCATGATAAATTATTTTAACTCACCGATTCTAGTTAAATATTAAAAATTAATATGAATAAAACGATATTAAATTATTAAATAAATACAAATAACTATAATTTAGGTATATAATCCTATAAATACGCTTTAGTATACAAATATGAAGTACTAACTATATATTATGTCAGATAATATGAATAGTTATTCGACAAGATAACGAATGTAAAACTTGAAAATTATGTATACGAATTTAATAATAATATTATATACGAATAATATATTATTGTCGATTTACGATGCGATAAGAAAGTAAGTACCTAGCTGATATACCTACAACTAAGAGAAATTTAAACAATTTTGATAAAACTGAAAGATTATAAACGAAAATTAATTATATTTTGTTATTGAACACCCGAAAAATACTAATAATAGGTATACTCCACGGTGCTCTAAAAAGAAAAAAATCAACTTCTAGGGTTACACACAGCGATTCACTACCCTAATCAAAAATTCCGCACATGCCGTACCTATAAGTGAATACTATATTTTCTTTTAAATGTATATATAAATAGATTTATCAAACGCGAACCAAATTTGAATAGATAATATTATAATATTGGGATTTAAAAATAAGTCTTATATTATATATTGCGTAGTAATATTGATATAGTTAAGTTCGTAACGTTTACTTGGAATTTTGAAATTTGAACGTCAACGAAAACAAAATAATAATAATAATAATATATTTACTTAATCATCATATAACCAAGAAAATATAAGTATGTACAAAATAACTGAATATGACAAAAACCTTTCTAAATCCTGTACTTGGAGTAGATGAGTTCCTACACAGAAAATTAAACTGTTATACAATATGTAATACTAATTACTATTAGTTAAAATAAAATACTTATAAAATGCTGTATATCATTGTGTTTGAAAACAAGAAAACTATTATATAGACAGTCGTATAGACAAAAATAATTTAAATTAATAATATCTTGTGTAATAAAAAATACATAATAATAATTATAATTAGATTTTTCTTTTAAGGGGTAAAACATAGACAATATATATACACAGCGTATATTTCCGTTGTAATAATATTATTTCTATTACTTTTACGCACATTGCGTTGACAAAATCTCACGGTTATAATTTATTTTTAATGCACCTACTGTTTGTTTTTAAAAAATGCATAAATATATACTTCAATATTAGTATCTAGGTATATAAAATACAAAAAAATAAGTAATATAAGTAATATATACAGTATCCAATATGATTAAGTTAATTTTTACCTTATTTAAAGGATTTCGTTTTCTCAGTAATATGATAATATGCTGCATTCCTGAGAAAGTAAGTGAAATACTGTTTTTAATAAAATTTGTTTATTTTTATTGTGTTAATAATTTAATAAGAAATATTAGTTTAATTTAATTATGATACATTAGTTTCAGTGTAAACAAACGTGCAATCTCGTTCCATACGAATTGGGTTTCGAGTACGGTTTAGTGAAAAACAATGACCATGCGATTCCCGACCTATCTTCCATCGATACGTTAGTTAACTCCTGCTCAATTGGACGAGCTGAAGGAAGCCATTAGGCGGGTGGTCCGACGCGAGATCAAAATAAAAGAAGGTGCCGAGAAATTGCGAAAAGTCGTCAAGAATCGAAAATCATGAGAAAATCCTAGAGTGCTAGAGTTACAAGTATAACTTCATGGAACTCGAGTCCCATATCATTCTCAGCCATGTCAATCAGACAACAACCGTGTGCTGGCGTTTTGAATAATTCGTTTCCGCTCAGCGCACATGGGACTGAATCGTAGTTTAGTTTGTCTGAAGTCGATTTTAAAATTATGTCAAATAAAATGTATGATATTGAATTATTGATAACTATAAGTTGTATACTAGAAAAAAATGTAATGCTTATCATGCATTTTACTCATCACAAATCTGATTATATACCCAGATAAGTATAAATATAATATATGGAACTGCATTAATAAAAATTTAGGTATGTTTGAATTTTTTTTTTTTTAAATACAATATGGATCTTATAGAATAAGGTAAGTTAATTGGTATAGATTTTAAAATGTATTTGTATAAATTATTCAATTTTGAATCTGGATATCTTACGATTTATCTATATTTATTAAGTATAAAAACATATAACTTATTATTTATCGCTTTTACACTTTTTCATCGTATACATAAATTATAGTACAACTTTCGAGGCAAGTAAAATTAAGATTCAGATCACTGCATGGCGTAAACACGATACCCGGAGTTGATGGATCAGCGGATCATCCTATTTCAAGTAATTAATAACACATTATATTACTATTGGAAATTAATAATTAGATTTTAAATATTATAAAATACAAATTATTCCCGATTGTATTATATATATATATTTATTACTTTCATCTCAAAACCACAAACTCAAATTTTATACTCATTAAAAAACAAAAAGGCGTCTTAAATTGATTTCAATTTCATTAACATTGTTGTATTGAAAATTACAAATTAAACCAAACCATATATATTTTTTTTATTGATCAATTTATTTTTAAATTTAAAAAATTACAAATATTTTAAAACAAAAACTAAAAAGTCAAACGATTTTTGTCAAAATGTGATATTAAAATTCCTTTATATACAAAAAAAATTAAATTTAGTTAAGTTTTTTTTTTTTTAACAAAAAGTACGACTGTTAAATTTTCAAGCATTTCGGCTTAGTCTTACAACTTTACTACATAGTACTAAATAAAACTTACGTACAAAACCTCCAAAATTATAATACTATCAACTATTAACTCAAATATGGTTAAAATTGTTAGAAAATTTGACCACGTCTAGAAAAGACAAATATAAGGCTTGTGTCCAAATTTCAAGTCTATTAAGTCCATAAGAATATTTTTAACTGAATTTCAATAAAAAAAATTTAATTTTTATAAAAAGCTTAAAAGTAGCTTAAATGTTTTGACAATTTTACCATATTTGGAAAAGGCAAATAAAATTTTTCTGTCCAAATTTCAAATCTCTATGAATATTTTTAACTGAATGACAACAAATAACAAAATTGAAAATAATAAAAGAAGTTATTTTCGTAAATTGTCGGTTTTTCTAATGTTTTATACCGGGTTTCCCCAGATATTATGAAAACCGTTTGGAAAATCAAAAAATTACATACCTAAAGTAATCTTCAGACATTAACTTTCATAAATGGTGGCACACGTATCTAAAAGAACTAATACTATAGGTGATTGTGCCATCACTGTTGTAACTTGTAGGTGGGAAGCTGGGAATTATGTGTATGATACACAGAATTATTATAAGTCAATATATATAATATATAAAATCATTGTTAACGAAATACGATTCTAAATGAAGTTCGTTTGTATAATATGTCATGATTTATGTCCATATTTGAATTACAAATAACAACTTATCAAAACAAAAAAAACTAATGCATTATGCATTATTTTTTTTTTTTTGGTCTTACCATCAAATTTAACGTATTATAAAATTGTGATATTAATTTCAAAAATGTTGGGTTAACTAAAAACTAGATATATTAACATAAATGGAAAAATAATACGTTGAATTATGTGATGTTTACGATTTCCTTTAAACGTGATTACAGTGTCCTACGAATATATACCCATACCTAACGATTAGCGATATCTCCTGGGATAATAAAAGTAATCAGATTCTGATTTATTTTCATAATATGACTCATAGGAATAAGGACTACAAATATTTAGAATTTTAGAAAAATTGTATGGTTTGGTCTTTACGGGATCCTGTATAAAAAAAACCTATATTAGGCTAAACTTTTATTTTCATCACTAAGTAGAATTTTTAGTTAACCACTTATTAAATTTAACAGTATTTCTGTCGGCCAACACAATTTTATCTACTTTAAACAAATAAACCACAGGACCCGTAAAATGAAATTGAATTATGAGTTTTTGAGGATTTTAGGTTTTTAGTACAAAATTGTAAAAAATACTATTTTTAAGTTAGTGGAAAAAGTGAGTTAAGTGCGCCTTTAAAAATTTTTTGAAAATTGTACCATGTATACAAAAGGCCTCTGTAAGTATCTCTACTTCGGTCATCCCACCGTTCAAAGCATAGGTAGCGGGGCAAACATATCATTTCACCCCTCCCTCCCAATACAATATAGATAAATAAATAATATTTCATAACTTTATAACATATAGTTACCTAACTGATATTATGATTTTAAAAAACCAGTCGAAATTGAGATTATAATTCTATAACATCACATCACTACACAAATAATTACGTGTAATTTGATAGGTATCTATATAATAATCTATGACAACACTGTATGCACTTTATATCAACAGAAATTTTATTTTATTTTTTAGTTATGTCTGTACCAAAAAATGTGCTCAAGTCAGGGCTCGAAATAAACGGTAATGCAATTCTTGTTCAAATTTCCACATAGAAAGAAAGTTTATCGTTGTTATTCACAAATCATATAATATAAACATAGAGAATATATATTAAAATATTATATAGGTATTTAAAAAAGACAATTATGTATTGTTGTTGTAATTTAATAATTTTTTTTAATTTCGAGCACCGGTTTTAGAACACAGATAGGGGAATGAGTCATTCTCCTACACGTGTATCATGATTCATGGGGAGGAGGGCGAGTCTCAGAAAATATTGATAACGTAACTATAGCTAAACCATTTATATTTTTGCCCCTCCCCTGCCCATAAAAAAATAATTCCCGCTCAAAAATAGTATAGTATAGGTATAAGTAAACATTTTGTCCGTACAGTGTTATCTGTATTTTTCGTATTTTATATTCTTGTGTAAATCCTGATTAAGTATGTAGTAGTTAAACTACACGTCTATTGGCTATGCGCCGACCTATGTATATCTCAAATAAGTACCTCATCTATACCTAACTCGAAAGCAATATAAGAATAATTTTCGTGTTTTTATATCTCGATTTGTAATAGTTATTATTATTGTAAGTACCTACCGACGTTTTACATAATACTACAGCATACACAATATTAGGCAAGTTTAATCGTTCGACTAGAAGCCGACAGATAAACGAAGGGGTGGGGGGGAGAGAGGAATAAAAATATGGTTATACATCCGGTAGAGGCATATGTTTACAGTATGGGCCGGAGTATCTGGTCTAAACGTGTCGACCTAATCTCTGTAACATAAACGACTGCATGTGTCACTCACGTTTTGTGAGCGGAATTCGGGTAGGTCGTAGAAAAAAAAAAAATAATAATTCACGAAAAATAACCGTGAATAAGATTGTCGCTATATTTGAAGTATTTATAAATTTACGGATCGATAGGTACCTACATTATGTTCGATTTTGACCAAGCCATATGTAGGTATTAACAATATCCGATGATTTAATTAGATAAGTTTTATATACCGAACAACGTGCCAATAAATAGGTTTGTAATAACGCAGAAAGTTGTAAAACCTATTATTGATTTGTCGCATGGGATATGAAATTACGCACCTGGTGCCCGAGCTTTGGCTCGGAATTCGTGATCCGACGCATTTCTTCCATGAGCGACGACGCCCGGGCAGTCCGTTTTTCTTTTTATGCGTACGGTATTTTTTTATAAAAACTTAAACGTCAAACAATAGATTTAATAAATAAAAAAATATAACTTCGGTACAACATTCGTCACGAAACCGAACTACACGGTTGTTAAGATACTAAGATGTAGGCAGGTACAGAAAAAAAAAAATGACTCTACTTAAACACCATTGGACGACTTTAACAGTTTTTCCCAGTGAGCTCCGTGGATTATATTTTCTCTGTGAGATTATAATTTTCGAAAATCTTTGAATATTCGAATTTTCAAATATTTAAGAGGAATTAAATTATTTTGAAAAAAAAAATAAATTCCATTTATAATTTGGAATTTTAATAATTTCTAAATGTTGTAATATTATTATTGTCCGATGAATTTATAGTTACCTCAGAGTTTTTGTGGTACTTTTTAGCTTTATTTACAGCTACGCCCAACGTAATGGTCTCTCGCTACTTCTTTTCGAAATATAAAATATACTATGTAGTATTTTTCTGAATCACGAGCCAAAATACAATATGTTTTTCATGTTTCTAGAAAAATATTACATACGATTCAATAGGTAATCGGTGTCAATTACAATTTCGTAATATTTGTTATATTCACGTGAAACGAAATTTAAAGCATGATTAAAGAAATTGTACTCAGATACCTATTCACTATGATATTATATAATTACTTATAAAAAAATCTTGTTTATTTTGAAAAAAGTTAATGAGATTAAATAAATTGCACCAACATTTTTTTTTGGAAAATATTTAAATTTGGTTGGATTTTTATGTAAATATAAAATAATAACAGCAATCTGTTTTAAGTGTTCTAAAATTTTCAACACTTTTTTAAATGTATATTAAGGATAATTACAAAATTATAAAACTTTTTAATTTACATCAAATAATAAACAAGTGTGATTAATTATATTGTGTAAAACAATAATTTAAAAAAATATATACATTTTACTGTCATTTAAAAACTTTAATTTAACTGTTATTTAAAAGACATTATAAACGACTTCAATGTTATTTAAAATTTTAAAAGGATAATTTAGAATGAACCAAAGATGAACAAATTGAGATTTTGGCATTTAGCATTGAGCGTCATCGACTATATATAAGCATAATCAACTTTGGTAAGCTTTTTGGTGGTGCTGTCGAAATGCCTTTCAAGAGGAATGATTGCTATTTTCGCTTTTTAGATCATAACTAAAGTTTTCAGTAGCTAATCTACAGGTACTGAATTCACTTCAGCGGGCAGTTTTGGGGCACTATCCAATTTTACCTATATTAAAATCAAAATTTAATGTAGAATAGTATAAAATTAATGAAATTTTAGAAAATATTAATGAAATATAATAGCAATAATATAAGAATTTGTCAGAAATAATATTAATTGAATGGTTGTTTGCATGGCTTGTCATAGTTTTGGTAGTTTTCTGGACAAATCAAACTGAACAATTTAGGAAAAATGGTCTCTCCATTACATCATTTGTATTCAGTTACCTGTCCATCTAACTTCTATACGGTTCTATTAACATTAAGTCATTACTATGAAGGCAAAATAAAACTATATAAATTATAAGTTTCTGTGCCTCCGTGCTTCAAGTCATATGTCCAGTATTAAAACAAATGTGATTCTTTAACTTAGAAAAAAAATTCTGGGAAACAGTAAAAAACCAGACTGTGCACGTTTTTATGCTTGATTTGGTCAGGTGTTCTTTGAAATGATGTGCTAAGTTTAACGATTTATATTTTTTGCCAGTTCAATTTTTAATTTAAATTTTCATTACAAATATTGTAATATAAATAAAAAAATTTCCATAATTAAAAATTTTTAAAAAATAATCTTTATAATTGATAGTTTAAGGGTGAATCACTGTTCTAACCAATTAACTGATCAATCTTTATTTATGAAATTTAAATGTGCACAATCCAAATATTTCATATAATCTGTAGTTTTTGGATTATTGTGTTATTACACAGCATGATAACAATTTATAAAGTTGTTTTATTACAGTTTACTGTGCAACATATGTATAAATAATAATAAAATAATAAAGGCAATGCAATAGTGGAAAGTATAGGCAAACAACTTAATTTTCCTATATTCATTTTTTGCCACTACAACATTGCTTATTAACATACTATTTATAATTTAATACTTAACAATTAATGTAATTTTTTTACAGTTTAAAATAAAGTGTGTAATATTTAGCAAACATCTTAAGTACACAGGAGGTAACAAAAATTGAATTATTATTTATACAGTAAAAATGTAATAGAAATAAATAAAATTGAGATCAAAATAATTTTAAAATAAACATCTAAAAATTATTGAGCAAAGTCAAATAATGTATAATTGAGAGAATATTATTAATAATATAGTTAAATTTGAATGTAAAAAATTAAATAATAACTAAAAGTGTTTTAAAATTACCTACTGATTAGAAATATTGGTAAATTATATTTTTAAAACAGTTTAAATAATAATTTATAAAACAATATGGATAGAAATGAAGTCACATTTTTGCAATAGTTGTTTTTCTAGAATTTGGACATTAAAATTAAAAAAAATAATTTAATTATTAAATGTATATGACATATTCTGGTTAAAATGTACTAGGATTGCTCATACTGATTGAGTTCTGGATTCTATGATGTCACAAACAAATTGGTTTGAGCTATTCAAGATCCACTGTGGCCAGTCGACTAGTACATTTTCAATCTGAATTAATAGTTAATTGTATAGAATATTTAATTTTAAAAACCATTTTAAAGTGTAATTATGTATATTTATAAAATTTACTGTAATTAAAAATCCATAAAGTACTTCAACTTTAATTATAAAAATAAGTAATATATAACGAGAAATAATATAATGCATATTCAAAAAATATACAAAATAAAAAGCTATTATTTATATAATATGATGCATACAAATATTTAGTTGATTACAATAAATTATAATATTTATTTAGCTTTGAAAAAATAAATTAGCTGTAATTTGTATTCAACTTTTAACTGAAGTTATCACTATTAGGTTTATATATGAAAAAGAAATTGAATTAATAGTTAAGCTGTTTAAGAATATTGAATAGTTAAAAATAAAATTCAAAGGAAATGTCCAAAATTCTAGTTACAATTTTTTTAATTTACAAAGTGCACACTGTTGATAAAAATAATGTATTTAGGCATGTTTAGTAATTTTAATAATATTAAGTTAATCTATTAACAATAACACACATTTGGTATAAATAATTAATTGTAGAATATGTAAATTATTGATGTTATATCACATAGTTCCATTCAAACTCAATACACATGTTAACTTGTATAATACATAAATTAATAGTTGTTCAAACAAAACAATAGTTAAAAACAAAAAAAAAACAAAATGGTAATTTCAATGTGTTAAAGAATTTAAACGATATTAAAATAAAAAAGAAAATAAAAAAGAAAAAAAAATACTTTCGGTTATTAAAAAATAATAATAATAAAAAGAATGTTAGCTATCAGTGGTATTTGGTTTTTTTGTAGTATTACTGCTAACATCAATTTCATGAAGTTCAACTGATAATATGTTGGAAAAACATACATGATCACTTTCTATTGGTTCTCCACAGCATTCACAATTCATTTCCTATAAAATAAATAATATTAAAAATTCACATCATTTCAAGAATTAGAATATTAATAAAGAGGTGTACTGTTAAATAGGATATTTTTATGATACAGTAATTATGTTATTTAACATTAACAACAGTTATTCAAATATTTAATGACCTCGATTGACTTTGTATTTAACCATTTAATAGACAAAATTAGGCTAATATTATAATTGATATGAGATTTAATAAGAGTGAATACATGATGAATTAAAATTAATTTTAAATTAGCAGAATTACTCGGTATTTCTCATGTTCAACATTTTTTCTTTCACAAAAAATTATTCTTGCCCAACAATTTATCTTTAAAAAAAAATATACCTCCTTATCCGTGATAACCAAATTAAGTAATAAAAACTTTTTTTCCAATCGTATCACTTAGTTAATCCGAATATTGACAAAAAAAGTTCAATTTTAGTTATAAAAATATAAAGACAGACAGACAGTCTTAAGTAGTAGAATTTTGATACAAGAAGTAAACAACGACCTTCCTCTTGTTTTAAATGTTAAGTGTGCAAAATTTTATTAGGATCAGAATAAAAATGTAAATTTTTACAAAAAACCAACATAAATTGAACTTCATTTTAAATATACAGTAGAAACTCTTTAATTCATTACCTTCAGTACTGGGGTATGGTTGAAATGCCAAAAAGGTTGGACTATCAGAAAATATAGAAAAATAAGGATTTATAATATATATGTAAAATATTATGTTATATGATTTACTGTAATAATTGAAGGTAAGTCTGTAGTAAAGAATTACTTAGAAAAGAAGTTGATTATTGATACAATATATAAATTAGTCAATGAAATCCAAATTTATTTTTAAAGCAAAATATTAAATATTGGTGTCTTAACTTGTGGTAATACAACAGTTGGATCAACCGAAGTGGCGTACATTCGAGGATGAGCAAAAGGGTTTTATTGTATATCTTAGATTTCAAAAATAAGATTCATATTTAAAACTTTAAATAATAAACCTGAGATAATCTTACTAAAATTAGTTATTATGATTTTAGGTTGGTATTTATTTCCTAGATTTTCCAAAAAATCAAATTAAATACAAACACCTTATAAACTTTTTATTTTTTGTACAAATTATAATTGATATTAAAATGAAAGTGTTTGATATTTTGCATAGCGGAACACTTTAATTTGTTTGAATTGCAATGCTAAAATAATAAACATTTTAATACACAAATTGTTCATAAAGCATTGGAATAACATTAAAAAAAAATTAAGAATAATTATTAAATTAAAAAATAAAAGCGGCAAGGATTTTATTATAATACAATTTATGAGAGTGGTAGGTATGAGGTCATCTTGAAACTCTTTGATAATTACGTTTTAAACTATTAATGTTTCAAAGTTCAAATACCTATGTTTCTATAAACACGTGTGATGGTTAAATAAACCTACATAAACTTATAGAATTATAATACTTGGAAATTCATTATTTAATTACGTAATTAAAAAGTATACATTTATATTTATAGTTAATAATATCCTATTAACACAATTAGAAAAAAAATGATTATCAGTATTATAATCCATATTGAGGATCTTTATTATTTTATAAAATAAAAATATTACAAAATTGTGATATTGAAGTTTATAGTTAATACATTCAAATTAAAATGATGTTCATAGTAATATATTTTCTTTTTAAATAATTTTTAATTATTATTATTTTAATACAACTATTATTTCAACATAAATAAATACGGATCTATAAATTGAAAATTGAATCCTAATAGATTGTTGAAGAAATTATGTTTTGAATTACCTGGGAAATTAAATTATAATTTCTAATAATTAAAAAAAAATTAAGAAATGCAAAGTTTCTTAAAATTGATTATTCACATAATTATTTTATATACAGGGTAACAACACACTCATTATCTCAGAAAGTATTAACTTTTTTAGAACCTATCCTAACCTTAAAGGAACATTTCAAAAACAAGCAGACCTAAAAATTGTATATTAATGTTATTTTTTGGGGTAAAACCACTACCTACTTTTGATTTTAAAATGGTAATCTATATTCAAAATTCTATAAATTGATGGAGTAAGTATTAATTAAAATAAATTTTGGTGCTAAAATTTCTGATTTCTGTCAACTTATTAATGAGATATTCTACGTTTAAGTTTGGGTCAGGATAGAATAGTGTAGCATAATTTGTGTGATGGCAGAGCGCAAGATGTAATAATAATGAACCACTACTCTCCCTCTACCCAAACTTAAAAGTAGAATATCTCATTAATGGTTTGATAGAAATCAAAAATGCCTACACCAAAATTTATTTTTAAATAATACTCTTTATATTTGTAAAATTTTAAATATAAGTTGCCATTTAAAAATCAAAAGTATGTAGTAGTTTACCCCAAAAATAACTGATTTTCTATAAAACAAATTACGAAAAAAGTTAAAAAACTTTCAAAGATAATGAGTGTACTCACTTTAATGGAACACCATGTAAGTATGATATGATACAAGTAAGAATTCTGGTAAAACTTAGCATTTAACAATCAATCCTACATTTAACTGACTGCTGTCAGTAAATTTTCAACATTTTCAATTTTCTAAATTTGGAATATTTGCCAATTTGGGCATATGTGGGCAAAACCAACAAACAATAGTAAAACAAATGGGTGTGAAACACTTAGGTATTCGACTATAAAGCAATGAAAATACAGAAATATGCAGTACACATCCAAAAATGATATGCAAAATATGCAAAATAAAACTTTGTATTTTGGATCTATTAACTACAATTCAAACTTGTAGCTTATCTAGCTACTTTTTGGACTGTTAAAAAAAAAAAAAAAAAACAGTTCAAGTCTACTTTACAGGACACCCTTTGTTTTTCAATTTATTTTCTTTTGAAAACATGTGTTTTTTGATGTTTATTTCAGAACTATTTGAATTTTTTTGCAGAAATCATTATTAAAGAAGTAACGGAAGTTTGAATTTTGTCAATGAAGTACATCGTTAATACAGTTTTAGCTTAAATACTTATTTATTTATGAATGTTTAGAATTAATTGTGGTACATTGGGAAACGCATTACTCTGTAGTCACTGCGGTATCGAGTTCTTGATACCATCTAAAGGGCCAGTAATTAAATACATGTCTAATTTCAGTATACAATTTAAACATTTTTAACTTGCCCCAAGACTCACCCCAATTGATTTTTTTTCCCTGTATGTTACCTACCTGACGTGGTTTTGCACAATAAGCCGAAGGTTATTTTCTATTAAAACAGTCAAAGCAAACGCAACAATAGAGTGACCGCGCCAGGAACCTAGATGCACCCAAAATGTTTTTTCATTTTTTCCCTATTACCTAACCGACGTGGTTTTGTACAAAAAAAATTGCTGGTGCCTTAAATGGTAACGAACTTGATACCACAGTAACTACGTAGTAACACATTACCCAAGGCACCATAGACAATTCTAAACATACACTTATAAAATAAATAGGTATTTAAGTTAAAATCTTTATTAACAACATACTTCATTCACGAAATTCAAACTTCCATAACTTCCATAATATAAATACCTAACCAAGTTTAATTTATTATTATATATTTACATTTCTTTTTATTTTCTGTAGAAACAGCCATGGTTGACCAATAATAATATTATGATTAACTGATTTTATTCCTGACAAGCAATCAATTAGAATTGGTTTATTTCTGTATATGATAATTATTCATCAGAAAATTTTAGTTTATAAGTATTGATACATTTAAAATTATAGAAAAAAATAATAATACTAGAATATATATAAACAAATCTGGAAATTAAAATAAAATAAATATTAAATTTTAGGTAACTAAATTAAGTGTTTAAATATATTTTATATAATTTATTTAATATTTTATTGATTACTGGCATTATACTAGACCAGAGGTTCCCAACCTGTGGTACACGAAGAAATATTTTTATTACTGTTTGCATTCAATATTATTTAGTTTAGTTTATTTGATATTAGCTAATTTTATAAAATTATTATTTTACCAAAATAATATTCAATGTCGATGTCATGGGGTTTTTAATCGTAGCAATTTAGAATTTTAGATAATAATAAAATCTAAAGTTTGTTATAGTTCTTATCAATAAAGCACATTCTTATAGTTTTAACATTGGTGTTATTTATATTATATTTTATATAATATGGTTATGGCCACTCAATTAGCGATAATGATTATTGGAAAATATACAAATGAAATGTCAAAGAGTTATTTTAGTGTGTTGATATACGTATTGTATGTCAAATGAAATAATCTGTATTTGTGGTTTTTTTTTTTTTTACAAAACTTTTATTTTAAATTTAATTTGTAAGTAAAATTATATTATGAAGAGATTTCTTAAGTGTGGTGATGATACTACTTCCATTGGAAACCCAAGTAAAAAATCAAAAACACAACCAAATCGTAAGTATGATGTAAATTATTTGAAATTTAGCTTTGTGATTAAACCGGAAACAGAAAATAGTGAAAACCCTATTCCCCTATGCGTTATATGTAAAGAGACACTTTCAAACCAAAGTATGAAACCTTTGCTATTAAAACATCACCAACAAACTAAACACCCTGAAATGGAAAATAAACCAATAAAGTTTTATCAAAGAAAAACTGAATTTTTTAAAAAAGAATCCAATTATATGACTCATTTCACTAACAGTGACAGCTATATTTAAGAGCATCATATTTAGCAAGCCTTAGGATTGTTAAAGATAGAAAGCCTCATACAGTTGGTGAAACGCTGATATTACCTGCAGCTAAAAATATGGTGCAAACGGTTTTAGGAGAAAAAGCAGCTAAAGAACTGGATAAAATTCCACTATCAAACAATTCTGTTAAGAAAAGAATTAATACTATGGTTTCAAATATTGAAGAAATACTGGTTACTCAACTAAAAATGTGTTCAAATTTTTTTCTCCAAGTAGATGAGAGTACAGATATAACAAATATGGCACAGCTGCTTGTTTTCATTTGATATAATTTTCACAATGTATTAAATGAGTATTTATTTTGTAAACCACTTGAATCAAATACGAAAATATTTTTAAAATCATCGACAATTATTTTTCAACCATAGGTTTGCCTTGGGAAAAATGTGTTGGCATTTGTACAGACGGAGCCCAAGCTATGTGTGGAAAAATGACAGGCCTAGCATCGACAGTACAGAAAGTTGCGCCATATTCCAAAAGCACACATTGTGCGATACATAGAAAAGCTTTGGCTTCCAAAAGTATGCCTGACCAACTATCCTGTTTTGAAATGTACTTTAAAGGTCATAAACTTCATTAAGGCTAGAGGTCTCAATTCTCGACTGTTCAAATTGTTATGCGAAGAAATGGGAGGACAATTTAATACTTTGTTATTTCATACTGAAGTGAGATGATTATCTCGTGGCAAGATTTTAAATTGATTGTTTGAGCTGAGATCTCAAGTTAATTTGTTTTTGATTGAAAAAGAAGAAAGACATGAAGAATTTGTTCAACAATGAAGAATGGTTATCTAGATTAGCCTACTTGGCTGATATTTTTGATAAGCTCAACACTTTAAATATGGGCCTATAAGGCATAAATGACAATATTCACCGTTTATGATAAAACAAATTCTTTCAAAAGAAAATTGGATCTATATCAATTGCAATAAAAAAAAAAAATTTCTGCATTTCCTAATCTTTCCTCATTTATTGATGAAAATGAACTCTCTCTAAACGAAGATTTAAATGCTGACATCTTGGAACATTTGGAAGCACTGAAGATGAATTTTTCAAAATATTTTTTGAAGACTATTCAAGGAAAAATTGGATTAGAAACCCATTTTTGTATGAATCTTCAGACATAGAAGTTCCAGAAGACAAAGAATCATTCATTGATATGGTAAGTAACAGCTCAATGAAAGGCATTTAAAGACAAAACATTGATTTCATTTTGGATTTTCAAGCAAACATTACAATGTTTAACTCCATTTGTCACTACTTATTTGTGTGAGAGTGGATTTTCTGAATTGCTGTATTTGAAAAATAAGTACAGAAATAAGCTCGATATTCAAAGTGACTTAAGGGTGAAAATTAGTTCCATTCAGCCAGATATTGATGTCCTTGTACAAAATAAACAACTATAAATAACACATTATTTATTTAATTTTATTATTATTTATATTTATTTTTTTTTTATTAATTTTTAAAATTGTAATTTAAAATTTAAATATTTAGATTTAACTAAAAATTAAGATTTTTTTACTTTCATAAATCTCAAATAATAAAAATATACTCTAAAAAAATTTGACTACTAATTTAGTTTTAGAATTGAGGTGGTACGTGTATTGATTTTATAAGTGTCTGGTGGTACTCAATGATAAAAAGGTCGGGAACCCCTGTACTAGACCAAAGATTGTACCTCCAGTGTAAAGTAATTTTTTTGTCGAGCAATTCGTTTCAACAAACTGTTCCTTGCACGCTCTTTGGCTCTAAATTCAGGATCCATTCTTCTTTTACGCTGTCTTTCTTTTTCTCGTTCCTTTCTTAATCGATTATGTTCTGCCAAATCTACCATTTCAACTTCGCCAAACCTAAATTACAAAATAATAATAGTAATAATAAGGTTCTTTTCACATTATATGGTTTTGACTTTAAGCAAAAATCCGAACAATTTAAATCAATTGCTTATATAATTTATGCACGGTTTATGTTTTAGTAGTATAGTATACGTTTAGTTTTATTAAAACACACAAATACGTTGTTATAACAAACAGTGAACAAAATTGTTTTATATTCCGTTGTTAAAGACAACAGAAAAATCATATTTTTTGGGTACATACTGTCAATACTAGATAAGAGGAAGCGGGCTTATTTAACATATTATTTAATGATCTACAAAATGATGAAAATAAGATTTTTAATAATTACTGTGTGATATTTGATGTATTACATGAATTTGCATTAGGGTAGTTAAATATTTAACACCAAATTCTGCCATTATTTAAATAAGAAATAATTGTGCCTTGAAAGTGACTGGGTGAATCACATTCGAGCTTTACCGTACAAATAAAATCATTTAATGTGAAAACATGTATTTGGTCATGTATACCACTATGCTTATAGCATCATTCGGCATTTCATTAGGACCGTGCAATGTGAAAGAGTGTATGTTCTTCTTTATTCCATAAAAATAATATTGTTGTTCGGTTTTTTTTGTCGAAACCATATAATGTGAAAAGTGCCTAGCGATTCAAAAAAAAATTTATTTATTATTATTATTATCTTACAAGGATGTAATTTTACTACAGTCAATGTTAGTTTCAGAAAATAATCTATTAGTATTAGTATCATAAAAGCCTTTAGCTCTCGACAGTCTTTTAGCAATTGTGTTTTTTCCTCGTTCAATCGCTCTTAATTCTGGGTTCAGACGTCTTTTCCGTTGACGTTCACGGTCACGTTCTAAGCGACGAATTCTGGATTGTTCTCGCTGTTCATCTGTTAACTGTCTTCTGGGCATTTTTACACTATATGACAATATACAAGTATGGTAATTATTTAATTTCTCTAAAAATATTGTAATTTATAATATTAACAGTAGTGTATTTATTCAAATACTTACGATCACATAACACAGTATAAATTGACTAGAATAGTGAATATGCAGTTTTATTTTTGACTAAAAGCATTAATAAACGGTTTTTTACCAACATGACTAGATAAGTTTCAATGTTCGAAAATATTTTTAACCACCTGTAACATAGATACATAATATGTAACACACTATAATTTAATGAAAATAAAAAAACTTTAAATAATTTATGATTTAATCTTTAGATTATTATTTTTATGTAGCTAAAACAACTATACCTATTTCATGAACGAGGATGAACATCATCAAGTGTGTAGTTTCAAAATGACATTGGAATCTCTAAAAATTATTAATTACATTCATTAATAAATACTTGAATGTATTTCTCAATATTAATAAGTGTAAAAAAACACTGACAATTTGACAAATATATAATACAAAGAGTACTATTACTCTATGGTATAATACCAATGAAGTATCTGTGAGGGGGGGAAAAAAATCCCTAGGGTAATAATACTGGAGCCTTCTTTTCTGGGTAATTCTCTGGGTCTGTTCACTATTTTTAGTGAACAGTGGTGGTTGGTATAAAACCAGTAAATATTGATTGATAAAAACATTAATTAAAATTAAAATTACCATACCAATTTGAATACACAATGTTGTAATATTATATTTACGATGTTGGTGAAATTGTTCAATGGGTTTTATACAAACATAAAATTTGAGACAAAAAAAATATTGAATACCATCCAGTATCATACGCCAGCATTAGTTACTGTTTAAATCCAACTAATGGATCAACATGGCGAAATTACGTAACTTAGAATTTAAATTATACCGTTTAAGTTGAAATTAAATTTAAAAACTAACAAATAAATAAATACAAAAAGAGAATATTTCCGTGGACAATGCATTGCCTTTTTCCAAAAATAGGTAGGTAGGTATTTATCTACTGTCAAACAAAAAATTTGCAGATAACAGTTTCTTATTTTTTTTTTAAATAGCTGTATTCTGTTGGCAATATATTACAAAAACTAGTGTGATGTCCTTGAAAAAATGTTCCTTTTTAGATTTGAATTACATCTTAGGTACACAATAAAAATTAAATTCTAAATAGCATAATTTGGCAATATTAACCATTATTCAAATTTAAATAAAAAATGTTGGGATAGTGTCCTCTTAATCGAAGATTTAAAAACAGGATTACTGTGCCTAACTTTTATTCTGAAATCCTGTTCATATTATTCCTAACAAATTAAAAAGCAATTTGGAAATTCTACCTTCAAATTAAATGCTTATTATGTGTTACACCAAGTATTATTTCGTAACAGCAAACCAAACCAATAAAGTTCAATACGTATGTATTCGAATTGATACATTGATTGTAACACTTGAATAAAACTCGATAACGATACTAATACGTTAGTGTATAATAAATAGTGTAGGAACAAAAATTATATTGAATAACAATAAAAAAAAAAACAACGATACAATCATGGAGGTTTAGATTTAAAAAAAAAAAACAAATCAATTGTATCGATGTGTAACCATGGCAACGAACGGTGTCGGACGAACACAGCTGGAACCTAAATTTCGTCAACCGTGTAAAAGACCGAAAACTCAAGTACACTGGTGAAAACCGAAAACGGTACAAATTGTACTATTTTACATTATCTAAACGGAATTCGCGGTTAGATAAAGAAAAATGCAAAAAATAACAATAACGTTTTGCCGGAGAACAGAAAGACGGACGGCGTTCAGAACGCCATGGATATCGTTACCTGGTCTTCGTTGGACGACCGCTCGCCGCCGTCGTCGACTCTCATCGCACGAAAAGCGGTCGGTTGGAAAATGAAAGCGAGTGAATCCACTATTTGCCACTACATAACCCGCATCGCGAAAACCGGAAAACGGCTACCGCGCAACGAAGTCACGGGACGTTGTCGTGTACACCGCTATAATATGCCCGCCGATTGCCAAGTTAAAAGATAACGGCAATCTCTCGCTATATTTACATCACACACGGTACTGCTCGGCTAATCAAATCATCGAATATCGATACACACACCGGCCGGACGTGCGTGAAAAATATATACAAAATGTACACCTATATAGGTAGAATAATATATCTATTGTGTTTATTTCACGACCCGTCAACGACGGCGCAACACGATGATGTAACATCAATGTCGATGACGACAACGGCTGAACGCTGAACGGCATCGTCAGCCTGCCCGTCGGACGTGCCTAAAAAACTTAAAAAAAACTAACCGAAACAACAGTTCCAGCTGCTGCCTAGTACCTATTCCGTATTTCGTGATTAAGGAATAGGTTACGTACGTGGGCTGTCGTTCGCGACCGCGGCATCGGTAAACGTAGTCGTGGAAATTATCGGTCTGGTTACACGGCCGCACTGTTCGTTGACCTTCTCCCAGCCGGCAAAGGTCAAACTTGGATTTCCCACCCTCCACCGCCGACCATACGTCCACCGTTGATTCCCGGACCTCCGACCGGTGTTTCATCTACCGATCGATAACTCTTTCGTAGCTTCGTTCCGATTTCCATTTCCGTACTACACTCCGACTACACACTCGTTTATTGCCGACGTTCCGTCTGCACCGTAACTCGTAAGTATTTTTTAGACAAATTGTATATTTTATACCTATTTAGTTTGTTTTTTCTGAGTTTACCTGTTATTACGTTATGTTTTCGAATAAATAATTTTCAACTTAATTTCCCCTTCAATTTTTATTATCTTTTTGTCATATTTCCCGACTGAGGTCAACAATATCATTAGGTTAAGGTAACCCTTGTATGTTTATTCGACCTATTGCTATTTTGTAGATTATTTTGTTCGAAAACGCCATAAATTGAGCTACCCAGTCGAAGTCGGTTCATAGACTGACTTTGAAAAATTAATTTCCTACACTTCTGTACACTACCCCAAGTTCTGGGCGTTTAATTTATGGGCACTATTTGTTTTTATCACCACGGCCCAAGGTTACCTTATATTTACTCTTAACTAATTCACATATTTTGTCCTTTAAATTATTTTGTTTGAACCCAAATGTAATTATTCTATCAAATATTTTCTGGTTGGTGGATGTAAGAATGTAACAAAAATTAAAACAATACATTGTAAGAAGCTTAACTCGTCATAAACCCTTGGTCATATTATATATAAAATATACCTATATTTATATATCTATGAAGTATTGTGTATGTACCTACTGTACCAAATATTGTATACTGCAAGGGTTTTTTTTACGTCAATAAACCTAGTTGAAAAACAAATGATAGCTTTGATTATTTTAAGAAAAAGTTTTCACTTTTTTTATATGGAGTATATTAAAGAGCTGCTCTAATAAATTATACACTCATAACTGTATGCTCATTATTATAGGCACACTATACAAACACTTTGTTAAAACAAAAACGTGAATAACTTTTGTACTTCGTGAAAATTAATAATTCAGATTATTTGTTTAATTTCAAAAGTTTCATTGACAACCCCTAGACTCTAGGGGTTGTCTAGGAGTGTCCAGGGCCTAGATTTTGTCTACATCACTAGAATATTATAATATAGTGTTTTACCGTAATTGTAGATACCAATTAATCAATTTATAATCATTTAACCTTTGATGAGTGTCTATCAAGATATTTAAGTAAACAGACCTACCTACAATGTCAATTCCAATGACATTGTAATCAACTTACCTATAAAATTACTATAGTTTTTTTTTTCTATACATTTAAATCTTTTTTAATTGCTTTGTAAACATTTTTTAGATAAGCAAGTCATTAAGTACCTAATTTTTATTGACCTTTTTTTTTCCTTTTTGGTAATAATGTTTCTTTAATGATAAATCTATTTTTAGTAGGTAAAATAAAAATGTAATGTCAATGTTAGTAGGCTTATGTGTATCATCAAAATCTTATTTCTTTAAACCTTTTCTATTCAGTATAATACCTAGCCATTTTACAAGTATTAAAGGTTTAAACCCATAATAATAAAATAATTTGGATTTAATAGGTCGGCGTTTCTAAACTTTTTTTCATTCATGTACCCCTCACAACTACTTTATGGACCCTCGAGCAACCCTACACTATCTGCAGATTAAATAATATCTAGTATACATATTCCACCGCCTATAATGATATATAATATTCCTATTGTATCTTTAGTACATTCATGTATTACGAAAAACCGATTTACAATATTTCACAAATAACAAGCTATTTCAATCAAATACTACAAATTTCATTTTTTCACCGCAGACCCCCGGTTGACAAGTGTAATAGTTAACCTAATTTAAATAAATAATTTATATGAAATCACTCAATAATTGTAATTATCATCCGTTATTTTTTTTAATAATTTCATATGATTTATTCAAGGTTAAAACGTTTAACCTTGAAAACATGGTTTAGTGTATTTACTTTTTTCAATTTCTATTTAAGTGCCAAATGTATCTCAGATTTATGAATCATAAATACGGGACACTTTAAATCTCACTTAAAATTTACACATATTGCAACAAACTATATGGTGGGAGAGGGGTGATAGTAAGGATGTAGCGCTCAAAACTAGTCCGTAATTCAAAAGTTATCTATTCAAAGCCAGAAGTTTAAGAAAAATAACGTTGAAATCAAACTATCATATTAAGTTACCATAATTTAAAAATGTAATTTGTCTACACTTCTACAGTGATATTTACTACCCAATCTCATTGTAACATGCTAATTAGATTTATAAAATTTTAAAATTAAGAGACGCTCAGAATGGAGGAATCTAAATATGGGACAGAAGTGTTGTTTAGAACATTTGGTTGGGATACCGGGATGCTTATCACAAATATGGGACAATCTCGTATAATACAGAACGTACGGGATCTTATTTAATGAGGGTTTTAAACAAATTTAGTTTCCAACCCAAGCTTGTTTTTCAAAATTTTTTTTTCTAAATGTATGTTTGGATGATTTCTATGGTTTATGTTTCAATATTTTTAATTCACTATTTTATTGATTTCAACTGATATGATTTTTTATTATTATTATTTTAAAATAATAAAATGATTGATAATATACATTTATTTATTTATTTATATATTTATTTGACTGTATAATATACTGTACATTCATTAAAAAACAAAATCCGAATTAAATTAAAATACAATTGTTACAATAAATTATAATAATATTAGTTTGTATTATTCAAAACTATTGTAACTTTTTTTCTGTTGTTTTGCTGTATACCGCTATATAAATATTAAACTAGTAAACATTGTAAAATCAATACTTTCCTCGCTCTGCTCAGAACCTACAAAAATAAGTGTAAGTGGTATGAAAATTGATTGGAAAGTTGCATAGATATTAAAAATATAGTTAGGTCATTCCTATGCTTGATAAATTGTAAGGAGCAAGCATTAGTAGCTTGTTAGAATAGAATAAGGGAGGTATTTTTAGAAATTTCCGCAGTCCCTTTGACAATATTCACAATCATATAAAATACTACTGATTGCCTATCCATGTGTTTAACAATATACAAAATTTAAATCTAGTATAATTAGAGATCATGAACATGTTTGTCTTTCATATTATTTCTGAATATTGTATCATTGACCATTGCAAACTGTAGTAGTTTTTAGTCTTTTTAAATTAACCACCCTCTTTAAAAGCAAACAATTTTTCAACCTAATTTTATAGAAATTTCGTAATTAAGGTAATTGGGTAGTGATTCTCAGCCAATATTCGAGGCAGTCCATTAGCTTTTATTCTTAATACAAACCACATACTTCATCGTGTCAAAACTATTGATATTTTAAGTCAGTAAATTTGTCACCACTAATTCTATCTAACATTCCCAATACTTCCATCTTATATAGCTGTATTATTAATAACCATGGTGATTACTACAGCATCATCTTAAGTCCTCGGATCTGATGTTTAATTCACGATGCACAACTTGATGAATTATATGAAGTATTAGTTATCTCGATCGATAGCCAGTAAAATTTAGAATAATCTTAAAATCAAAATTTAACATAATTTGGAAAATAATAATATACACTATAGTCCTTACCACTATTTTCTTAATTTTGCTATATTTCCATCTCGATTACTTATGATTTGCTGGTAATCATAATTTGGCTATCTCAAATTCTCAACTGTCTGATTATGCGATGGTTATCCTTATAAGATAACTACCAGTCATCTTATAAATCGTATCACATACATATTTAGTCATTTTAACTTAAAGCCCTAAATTATACTTTTACATCTAGTAGTATCTATATGACTAGTAGATCTATATCACTAATTGAAAATCAGTGTACAAATGTTTGGTAATTGTAGAAATCTTAAGTAATCTTATAGGAAATCTTGATAATCATTAGGAAAATCATAGTATTCTGGATGATTAACCTTCTGTATACTTGTCATATTTTTACTCTATTAATCTATTTTAATGTAAACATTATTTTGTCCTCAGAAGTGGAAAATATATTTTATGATGATACATTTGTCCAAATATCTATTAAACTTCAAACTCTATCCTGATTTAACATCAATATTTTCTAGGTTTGTATATTATTCCTTCCTTCCTTTTGTTTTAATTTTGTTTTGATATTATTTATTTCTATTATTAGTTTGTTGTGTTTTAAATAAGTTGTAATACTTTACACACTTACATAACAATGTAATTAAATGTGATTTTCATATTATCTAGATTATTATTTCTTTTTAAATTAGTAATAAATATAAACCAGAAATTAAATTCAACTTTATAATTTAGCACTTAAATGTTAAATAATACCCCTGAGCAGTATAACTCTATCACTAAAGTAGAATCCTCTCCTCTCCCCTACCTCTTTTATGTAATCAAATTATTACTTCTAAAATAATGGCAAATTTGAGCTTAAAAACGGTTAGTTTAGGTTAAAGGTGGGGGTTGAAAATTGAAATCCCCTAAAGGCATATCCTTAATACTAACACCATGCATATACAGCATTTAATTTGTCTGACTTTATTTAGGGGATTCGAAACTAAACACATCCACTTCCCATAAAGATATAGTAAATTTTGTCCAATTTTTATCACTTCAATCTGTTTATAAGTCTATAAAAAAAACTGTATTTTCCTAATTAGAGCTCATTTGGTGCAGAGAAAGCTGCTAGAAATCTACAAAAATAGCACACTATGTAATTGTCTATATTTTTGGGTAATTTTTGACAAAAATATATTATTTTCATAAACATTCATTATACAATTTGAGCGTTTATTATTAAGTTTATTAGTACTAAGACTAGAAGGAAAAAAATATATATAATATGTAACATGAAGAACATGTGTGAAGATCATTCAATCAGAACCTAATTATATTTTATATTTAATTTGTTACATTATTTTATATAATTGTAAGGTAATTAATTGACCAATTGACCGTAACCTCGATCTGACATTGATGTACAAAATATATTTGATTATTAGCCAACTATTTAATAGTTATTTGTTTATTGATATACTGACTTAATTATTGTGTTTTTGTTTAGATCTTTCAATATTTCAATCAGCAGAAAGTTTTCTTGCAAAGGAAACAATATGAGTATTAAAACAATTGTAGCTCGTTCAATTTTCGACTCCAGGGGTAACCCCACTGTAGAAGTAATGTCAATTTTTGATTTTAAAGTATATCTTAACTGGTTGTTTTAATTTTATATTTAATGCATTTTGTGAATAGGTTGATTTAACCATTGAAGGTGCACCACTTTTCCGTGCAGCTGTACCATCTGGTGCCAGTACTGGTATTTATGAAGCATTGGAACTTCGTGATAATGACAAGGCCAACTATCTTGGAAAAGGAGTAAATACTGCTGTTAACAACATCAACACTCTCATTGCTCCTTTTCTAATTAAATCGGTATATAAAACTTGTATCATAATAATTAATTAATTTATATATATAGTGTGTCCCACTATATTTGACAATTTTTTTTTTCAATCGGTTTGTCTTTGAGGAGGACATCAATTTAGAGAAAAATTAAATTTTTATTTTCATCTCCTAAAATTACTTTATTTATTTACTTTAGAAGATTTTCAAAATAACCATTTTGTAAAAAATATTATTATACAAATTATAATATATTATACATTCTTCATATTTGATTAATAATTTCTTTATGATAGCCGTTTTATTTCTAGAATATAGGAGTGAAAACAGATATTAATATTCAATAGAAGGTAAACTAAAGAATTACCATACTGATAGTAATTAAAACGGCTGTAACTAAGAAATTATTCATCAGATATGAATGTGTGAGATACATTAAAATATTTTAAATAAATATTTTTTACAAAATGGCTATTTTGAAAATTTTCTTAAGTGAACAGTTATTTTTGTTCTTAAGAGATGAAAATAAAATTTTAATTTTTCTCCTAATCAATGTCCCTGGAAGACTAACCGATTACAAACAAATTTTATATTAACAGTGCTAGAAAAATCCGCCGAACACGGTTGGACATACTGTATATATAAAACGTATTATACCTTTTTTAAATTCAGTTGGTTGTTAAACTTATTTTTTTTAAATGTGTCAACTTTATTGAAATAGGGAATTCAAGTCACTGATCAAAAAGCTATTGATGGAGCTATGTTACAATTGGATGGAACTCCAAACAAGTCTAAGCTTGGTGCCAATGCTATATTGGGTGTCTCATTAGCTGTAGCTAAAGCTGGTGCCTTTAAAAAAGGAGTTCCTCTTTACAGGTAATTAAAAATATATAAAAAATAATACTTAATATATGAATTGATTTTTAAATTGAATTTGTTAGGCATCTTGCTGATTTAGCAGGGAACAAAGAAATCATTTTGCCTGTTCCAGCTTTCAATGTTATCAATGGTGGTTCTCACGCTGGTAACAAGCTAGCTATGCAAGAGTTCATGATTTTGCCAACTGGTAATGATTTGCAATTTATTGAAATATTTCAATTTCAATTTTTTAACATTTGATTATTGTAATTAAAACAATTTTAGGAGCATGTTCTTTCACCGAGGCAATGAAAATTGGTGCTGAAGTGTACCACAATCTCAAAAATGTCATCAAGGCAAAATTTGGTTTAGATGCTACAGCTGTTGGAGATGAAGGTGGTTTTGCTCCCAACATTCTTGAGAATAAAGAGGGTTTGCGTTTAATTGAAACCGCTATTGAAAAAGCTGGATACAAAGGAAAAGTTGAGATTGGAATGGATGTTGCTGCTTCTGAATTTTACGTGTAAGCTATTTTTTTTTTAACAATATCGTAAAAAAAATTAACAGTATTTTTTACTTCAAAATTCAAATAATCCTGTATTTTATCAAACTTCAATTTTTATTATAGTGATGGAAAGTACGATCTAGACTTTAAAAATAAATCTGCTAGCAAAGATAAAACTCAAATAATTACTACTGAGGCTTTGACCGACTTGTACAAAGAATTCATCAACGAGTTCCCAATTGTTTCAATTGAAGATCCATTTGATCAAGATCATTGGGATGCATGGTCTGCACTTACATGCTCTACTGATATACAGGTAAACTTAGGCATATACAATATCCAAATATTTTGAGCAAAATGATAATGATCATTTAAATACACTAATTTTTCTTATATTGACAGGGAAATATAGTTCAAGGAACAAAAACATATTTTGTTTTACACCTTAACTTATGCTATCTATTTAATTTAAAAACTAATCAAATATAATATAAACTTAATTTTGTTAGGTGATTTTTCAATGCTTATCAATTATAAAAGTAATATTACTTCTTTTACTGGTTCTTTTTTAAATAATTGTAAAACTCAAACCCCAACAATATTTTCATGATATAATTGATTATTGTCGTATATATGGCTACTACTATACTACTATTAAATTTTCAATATTTTATCTAATTTTTGCACAATTCTATTCTATCTCTTTAGTACTCAATGTTAACTTATTTCTACTTTACCCAAAATAATCAAGTATTATTCCGATTAACTACTTTAATTGTATAACTTTTATATAATATATATATTCTGTTATTCAATGCGACAAGTTTGGTTTATAAATGTTAAATGTAAAAATATTATGTTTAATAGACAGCATATTAAATATATTGATAATGTATATCTTACTAAAACTTTTTATTTATTATTATTAAAAGAAAAATAACTGTTGCAGTAGTATTAATTGTTTAAAATTATTTTAGATTGTTGGTGATGATTTAACTGTAACAAATCCAAAACGTATTGCTGAGGCAGTAGAAAAGAAGGCTTGCAACTGTTTGTTATTGAAAGTCAACCAAATTGGTACTGTTACTGAATCTATCGAAGCACATTTGTTAGCCAAAAAGAATGGATGGGGCACCATGGTATCACATCGGTCAGGTGAAACTGAAGATACATTCATTGCTGATTTAGTTGTTGGATTGAGTACTGGACAAGTAAGTTTTCAAATAAAAATCATAGTTCATAATATTACGACTGTTTGTTTGAATATGACTACCATGTCTTATACATATAATTGCTCACAGTTCAGTAATTAATATTAATTTCAGATCAAGACTGGGGCACCTTGCCGTTCTGAACGTCTTGCTAAGTACAACCAAATTCTCCGCATTGAAGAAGAATTAGGCAGCTGTGCTAAATTTGCAGGCAAAAACTTCCGTAACCCACAAGCTTAATTCACAAATATGATACTTTTTATGTATTTTATGTTTAAAAATACAGATTTACATACTATTATACCTCATCATTAATTTTATAATGACAAAAACAATAATAGCAAATGAGTTTAAAGTATTTCGGTATACACTTTAGCAAAAAAAGTACGTAAAAAGTTATAATTGTTACTCTTAATTGCATTAGTTTTATTAAAATGTTCTTTATTCCTAGCATTTTGATTATAATCATATGTAATTTATGTGTGAAAGCTGTTTTAGCAGCAAAAATTGTTAAAATAAAAATCTATTATACTTGAGCAGTCAAATATCTGTGTTTTCGATGTTTTATATAATACATTTTAAGTTGTCTAGGTATCGTTAATAGATACAAGATATAAGACCAAACTATATTATTGAATATCAATAGTACTATTCATACTGAATCATTAAATTTGTTTTTATTAATTTAGATATTTTCTAAGGTTTTTAAAAGAAATATCAGTATTAAATTAAAATTACAATTTAATAATGAATCGAAAAATTGGTTAATTTTAAATAAATAATTTGTAGTGATTAAAATCTGGGTTAAATATAATTTTTGTTTTGTTTTATTCTATACAAAATTTACTAAAACTAATTTGTAGTTAGCATAATACATTTTGAAATCCTCAAAAATATCTGTTATTAATTGTACTAAATATAAAATGATATAAAAAGAAGTTATAATTACAATATTATATTAAATTCTCACATTTTGTAGGAAGTTTTTTTTTTTTGAAAACTAAACATACAAAATCTTTTATTAGGTGTGTATGTTTTTATGATTAGTAATTACTATGTGTGAATGGCATGGAAGTGAATATTTTGAATGTTAAATTTGTTCACTCGAATGTTTTGAAACTAATGAAACTTTTTATAGGTATAAATATACCTGATATTTTTCTATAGTAAATTCCTTTAACAAAAATCCGAAATTGAAACTAATAGCATTTATGATTTCAAAGTGGGTAATCCTTAAATCGACAGGGAAGATAACAAATGCACTCACCATCTTTGCAGAACATATAACATTTATTATATACACGCCGTAGGAGGTGTTACAAAAAAAAAATAAGTTTGAAAACCTTTTTTGGATTATTATATAACATAATAGGTACAATGACTAGAAAAAAAAAAAGGGTTTCTTGTAACCTTTTCGTTTGTTGCAATATTTGTTGGTATAAGTATACAACAATACAACTACTGTTATCGACTATGGATCACGTCCAACGAAAAGTACCTACCTATGTATTATATTCTTTTATATTTCGTTCCTTTACGGGGAGCCAAAAGAAAAGGTTTATCGTCACACATAGATATAAATTAAATGACTACGTATTCAATCTTCCCAACTTCCCATCTACAACAGTAGCACACCTATCAGCATTCAGCAGTACCAGAGTTTTTTTTTATTAATATACATAAATCGTGTAGAAAATTGAAAAAAACAATACAAAAATGTTTAAAATAATAATCCTTACAGATTTTAAGTTTTAAAATATTTTTTTTTCAGGTCCCAAAAACGAAAAAAGTAATTATTCACAAACAAGTTACACTGGTATTTTTTATTTTTACTTTTTTTTACCTACCCTCTCAGCTATCATAAGTACCTACTCCGTTTCACTGAACTTTAAAAAATATTTTGATTAATTAGAATAAAGTTTTTGTTCACGATATTGAAATTATAATATTCAAAAACATATTTTTCTTAAGAATATAAAAAATAGAGATTGGTTTATAAAAATAAATATCTATACCTAAACCATTAAATCAACGGGGGAACATAAAATAGGTAAATAAAAATATTAGATAAATACCTATAAAAAATAATTTACAAACAATCCTAAAAATTCGTTTATTTTCCTAGGAAAGTCAGGAGTGTCACTAAATGGATAGTTTTTTGAGCGTAATTTGTGTACAATTTATTTTTATTTACTGACATTCTCAGTTTATTCTTGGTGTCCGTTAAATTGACTTTGTCCAATCGATTCGAAAAGTATGCCAATATTTTAAAAATTAATTGCAAATCAATAGTTTTCTTTTGGTGAGCTTATGAAAAAAAGCCCCCGAATTTGTCCGATCGATTCATAAATACCTATGTCAATATTTTGTAAATTAATTGCAAATAATTGCAAGGCCCTCCCCCTCTAAGGAGGGTAATCACTAAAAAATTCATCTCTGGATGCGTCACTGGGTATAGTACAATGGAGGCCTAAACCTAACAATTCCATTTTCCGTATCTTAGCTCGTGGTGTTATGATAAAGACGTGAATTGAATACAGAAATATTGAGATGACGAGATTATTATAATAGTATTGTTTTGTTGTCCTTGATTTCATTATTACAAAACGTTTGAATAATGCAAATTATACGATAGATAAAAATTAATGATTCGTTACAAGTTTTGTGAAAATCAATGACGATAAAAACGAATTGTCGACAATCCTACGGAAAACTAAAAATAATATCTTGAAGACTGCGTTTTCGTTACACTCGGGATTGGTATTTGGTACACACATAATACACCACCTGTAAAAGTATAAAAAACTATATAGATAATGACTAAAACATATGAATATTTTTATTTTTTCTATGAAATATATTATATTATTATTCAATATTCACCTACCTATATTGATTTTAACTAAAGTAGTAATATCTACCGACTTTGTTTATTTATATATATATATATGTATATTTTTTTGGTAATTATAGGTACCTACCTACATACCTGATGAGTAATATTTTATTGGTATTTTCAAATTCTGTATTAATATTGAAGTGTTTGTTGTTTATGCATATATTTCAGTTAGTAGTTGGAAAATACCCGTACAGAAAATTGTCTCGCCGACTAGCCGCGTTAAATGCCTTTCGGCACGACCGTTTCGGTAACGATTATCAATATTTAACGCGAAAAACCGCCACTGTATAGTCTGCTCGCCATACGAGTTTTTGTTTGTTTTTACACGGGTTTTCCAAACTGACGACACTGACCTCGCGGAATCGGAATATTTCCATGAATTTTCCATCGCGCCGATTGGGCGCTAGACCGATGGCGTGCCTTTACTACTCGCGAACCGTACCGTTTCGTTTTTTCTACCACGGACTATGCGATTCAACGATGACGCTCCTTCGCTCATCGGTTGATCGGCGTCTCCGCACTCCTCACCGTCCAGGGCCAGTGTTCGACGAGAATTTGTAACGGGATTGCGGTTCGCGAAGTCGTCGTTAATTTTTTTTTTTTTTCGCGCGCACACGTAATATTATAATATTTGCGTACGTTTTTGTTAAGCGCGAGTGCCGTCGCGATAAGGTACGTTACACTAGCACCACAACTTAAACTGTTTTCTTTTAAATTGGTTCCGGACTTTAGTAACCGGTACATAATCGTTCGTAACCACAAATCCGGAATTCGTAACCTAAACCATGTACCATAAAAACCGTTTTTCCCAAACGGGTGCTGGCGTAACGTTTAACTTAAAAATAGTTAACATACAATTTTAAATATTCAATTGTTTAAATATAGTTGTGGTGGTGCGTCTCCGTCCTATTAGCCTGAAAAGTTTCTTAAATTCAATTATTTTATTTTAAATGTGTGAATAGACCTTATTTAAGTTGTGGTGCCGGTGTAACATACCAGACGCGATAATCGTTCGTCAACAACGACAGCGGCTGTGAAGCGGAGCGAAAAGAACGATGGTGAGTGAACCTATATATATAATTAAAAGTAATTCAGAAATTAAAATGGCCGAGGTTTTATACGTTCTCTGTGGGCGTCACTAAAGTATACCTGAACAATATTCATACATGTATCGAATAGTTGCCCGCAGTATGAATATTTTTTAGAGCGGCTTTATAATTTACCTACCAGACGGCCAACCGGTTCGCGAAATTTCGCCTCGGTTTTCCATCTTCGTGGAAGAACCTTGACATTCCGTCGTTTTGGCCGCGGGCCAGTGGCCCGTGTTCTCATTAATTTGTATGTTTATTATCGATACGACATGATTATAATAACTTATAATTTAGTATTAACCGGGATAGGTAACTTTTTTGCTAAAATCTAATGTTCATACTGTACAATATAATAAATTTGATTTTTAGTTGGGTCTATCGAACCCCTATTGTTGTGAAAACCTTGTCCGTCCGTCTGTCAGATGCTAACACTAACTTTTAAACGAAACAAGATATAATTGAACTTGAAATTGTACACAAAATAATTATTAGGCATGGGCCGATACCATGTCCTACCGATATTCGATTTTCCGATTTGTCAGGATAATATATGCTACCGATCAGGGGCGTATTTATGGGGGGTTCGAGCTGAGTGGGCTGCACCCGAAATTTTAAGAAAATCTAACTATTATTTCCATGATCTATAAAAGTCACTGCAATACGCTTAAAAATTGTATCTTATTGATTTTTAATTCGTATCATTATTTTGTTAGTTTATCTTATTGCTCGTGGACAAAACTTTACAACGGAAGAACAAATACTGGAAATCATAAATACTTATTATAAGCCTATCGATAGCGATCGCTGAGAGGCAAAGAGGCACAGTCACACGCTTTTCTGAAAATAATTTTATTAGTACACTGTGCAGTCTACCACAATAATAACCTCTTTAGTTTGTTTACTGTTTATACCGAACTGAGTTCACTTGCAAGAAAGTATTTTTAATTTTTTTTAGATTCCTAGTGTAGCGGTTTTATTATTATTTTTTTTTTTTTATGTGATCACTTTTTCTACTTGAAAGCTTAATCCGATGTATGTGATGTAGACCATTTTCTGAAAGGAAATTTTCTTGGGACGTGGTATTTAAGAAAGTCATTTTTCGATTTTCTTAGGAGTTTCCTCATGAAATGTGAAAAACCGAAAAAAAAACCGGGAGAATCGGTATAATATTAAATAAATATTATTAAAGAAAAAATATAATGTCTATTTAATTATTATTATACCATAATATGACATATATATTGCGCATATATATATATGTGTGTGTGTTACTCTTTTAGGCCCAAACTAATGAATGGATGAAGTTGAAACTTTGCATAGGTATAGTTCTAGACCTGAAGGAATAATATATAGGCTACTTTTTGTAGCTAAAATATAACTTGAGAAGAGATGAAATAGGGGATGGAAAGTTTTTAGGTATTTTTGGTATGGAAATTAAATTATTTTTGTTGAATTATAGATTATTATAGATAGTAACACGGATGAAATGAAAAAATATTTAAAAGAAAAAATTAATAATAAACGGAAATAAGTGGCATAGTAACTATAAAAACTTGAAATAAAGATTCTATCCAACTATCAGCCGATCTATTATTGGTTTGAAATAGGATGGCCTACCTTGGTAACATGGATGAAAAAATGTATGATGC